AAGCTAAATGGTATTTTTTTATAGCCAATTTATATTGTATGAAATTTATCCATTTTTCCCATACGGCAAAAAATTTCTCTTGTGATTGCTCCTTTTAAAAAGCCGAAATCTTTGCCATTTCCGCCAGATAAGAAACTTTAAAAAACCACTCTTGCAAGGTAGGCAAAGATTCCTTCTTCCAATATTGCCCTACTAACAGCCTTGCGGCTGTAATTAAATTTAACATCAATATAATCTCTTTAGTATCACAATCAGTAACAATACCTAACAAAAATAATTGTGGGGTAAATTTTACCCTCCTTCTAAAAATTCTTTGAATATTCCACCATATCTTAATCCAAAAAGCTTTTATGTTTTTACACGACCACCAGATATGATAGTAAGTAGCATCCAAACATCCACATCTCCAACATTTAGGCTGTAAGTCAGGATACATACGAGACATTTTTTGTGGATCAAGTTGCCATCTATAAAACATTTTATAAAAATTCTCCCTTAAGTTCTGGGCTTGCGTAAATTTAACATTTCTCACCCAGATAATTTCCCAGGTATCCAATAGAACTGGTTCACCAAAATTTTGTGCCCATTTAATCATACAATCTTTGATTAATTCTGATTCTGAATCCAGTTCCACTAGAACCCCGTAAATTCTCTTAATATGAGTTCGCCTTTGATCTTTTACTTGTTTAAAGAGATTCTCATCTTCTCTAAGCAAGCCTGTATTGCTATCCATCTTCCATCTATCCACTATTTGTCTATATTGAAACCATGAATATATAATATTTTTTTGTACTAAATCTTCCAAAGATTTTAACTGCCAATTTTGACCATCCCATTTAAGTAATTGTGTATAAGAGACCCTATCCATTTTAACTCCTCTCCTTATCCCCTCTATCGCATGCCCGGGTATAGCCCATAATGGTATTTTAAAATCACTTTTATAATATTTCCTCCAAACCCGAAGTAGAGGAGTCCTTATAATATGAGATTTAAAAACCTGATCCACATTTTTATTAAAAATTAGATAGGCATGCCATCCAAAAAGTAAATCCCAACCCTCCAAATGGAGTATTTCTACATTTGTTAAGTTTACCCAATCACTAATTAATGTTAAAACCACAGCATCATAATATAATTTCAAATTCGGTACCTTGAGTCCACCTCTCTCACGGAAGTCCTGCAAAATTTTGAGCTTTACCTTTCTTCCCTGCCCAAATAAATTTATTAATACCTTTCTGCCATTCATTTAAATTAACCTCATTCTTTAAAATGGGTAGCATTTGAAATAAGAAAAGAAATTTTGGTAAAACATTCATTTTAATCACTGCAATTCTTCCCATAAGAGATAACTGTAACTTCTCCCAATTCTTCAAGTCTTTCTGTACCCTGACCCACAGCCTTTCATAATTATATTTATACAATTTTGCATTAGAAACAGACAGAGTGACCCCCAAATATTTTATCTTATCAATAACCTCAAAATCAGTCAAATTAACCAAAATCTGCTTATCCAGATTAGTCATATTTTTAGGTAATATTTTAGTCTTATTATTATTAATTTTAAAACCTGAAACCCGTCCATATTGATAAATCAATTGTAATAACTTTACTGCAGAATAGGTAGGTTGAGACAAAGTAACCACCAAGTCATCTGCAAAAGCTCTTAACTTATATTCTTTTTTGTTTACTTCTATTCCTTTTATTTCCTGCGACTCTCGAATTTTAATCAGCAAAATTTCCAATGTTAAAACAAACAATAACGGTGACAATGGACATCCCTGTCTTGTACCTTTTTCTATTGCAAAAACCTCTGACAAGCCCCCATTAACAATAATTTATGCTCTTTGTTTTTGATATATAGAACCAAAAGCTTGTATTATTTTTTCTCCAAAGTTCATCTCCTCAATTACTCTTAGCATAAACTGCCAATTCAATTGGTCAAAAGCTTTTTCAGCATCTAAAAATATCAGCCCAGCAGAAATTTGGTTATTTTTTCTAAATATTCTAATAAATTAATAACTTGTCTAACATTATTTTTCATATACCTACCAGTTATAAAACCCGATTGATCCTTATGTATAAGCTGATGCAAAACCCTCATAAGCCTATTCGCTAAAATTTTTGTAAAAATCTTATAATCTACATTTAAGAGGGATATAATTCTTTGGTAAGGTAAGATCTTGATCCTCTTTTGGAATCAAAGATATAAAAGCGCTGCGCCATGACGGAGGAATCTCTGAACCCTGTAATATGTTATTAAAAAGCTCACATAAAGGTTGGGTCATCTCTTCTACTAGTTTTTCTTGAAATTTAATTATCCAGAAAAAATTCTTGATAGATTGTCATAACCACTGCAATAAATCAATACAAATCAAGGATGCATGTTACATGTAAAAGATAATTATTTTGCATCTTTTCTGATTTGGAGCTAAAAGGAATATTATAGAAAGAGTATATATATAATAAAGCCAAAAATAATTCTAGAAACAAACATAATATCTTCCTGCAGAAACAGTGGATGCATTATTATATTGGCAGAAATTAAATCAGCTGAAAGGCAGTCTTGTAGGCAGCAGAAAGTAATCTACTACCAAAGCAAAAAGAAAAATCAAGGAAACTGTAGATGAGATGTTTGAATTTCAAAATGAAGAAATTAATTTATGATCAGGATAACTATGATTATTTATTCTAAATCACCAGACAACTAATACATTTTTGTTGGAAATTATATGTAGGATAATTCTATGCCGTTTCATGAAATAAAATCTTATGTTTTGGGATTGTTATGATGTTAAACAAAGTAACCTTTCTTTAACTGACTTACTGATTGGTAGCAAAATCCTAAAGGTTTTATGCAATAACACCAGGATACAGTTTTTATCCTTATGGCACTCTCAGATTGTGGGAATTTTGGGTACTGTAGGCTCAGTACAATTGGAGACAACAGGCTGCAGGAAGCAGCAAACCATTGCCACAATCATTACCTTCTCTTTGCTTCATTTTGCTTTGCTTTCCCCTTCCCTTCCCTTCCCTTCCCTCCCTCCCTCCTCCTCCTCCGCCTTTCCCGAGGATGAACTTTTCTGCTATTTAAAAAACTAAATAAACAAGTTTCTTGCTTCCCTGAAAACATTCTAAAAATATCATAGGCGAGGCGAAGCTTTTTTTTTTTTTAAATGAAGAAACGAATGGACAGTGTGGTAAAAGACTTAGCTTATACATCATTTTGGCAGAAAATTCCAGTGGTTGTTTCTTACTGAACACAATGACCCAAGAAAAATAGAAAAAAAATGGCCTGCTCAGTGGGTTCTTTAAAAAAAAAAAATCTTTAGGCACTTGGCAGATGTGCTTGAAGCAATTTTTTTTTGTTTATGAAGTTGATGAATCTTAAGTTACAAACTCAGTATCCAAGATAATAGTGATACCCCATCTCTGATACTTATCTTTATAGTAGATTTTCTTTTCTCAGACACAGTTTATATGTCAAAGCAATAATATCCTATATTAGTTAGTCATGGTTCCGACTAATGAAATTATACTTTTGTTTTTGCATTTTGCATTTGTATTACCTTGTACAAGTTCCTTGAAAGTTGCATATAATTACCCTGGATTTAAGCTGGGATAACCTTGAGTTATTGCACATCATTTTGCAGTTATGTCTCCAAATAGATCGGAGATGGGCAAATTATACTCCAAGAGTGCATTTCAAATGGTGATTAAATCCCTCTTCAACTAATCAGTTGAGAACTTTTCCCCATTGGTGGGAAGGAAGGGAGAAACCCAAAGTTAATATCTATAGATTCTTTATATATATGTGTAAGTTAAACAATAAATGAATAAATAAGTTGAGAATCAATTAAATTTAAATTAACCAATTGAGTGCAGAGCAGATTCACCCACATATTTGATTGTATTGAAGTTTTAGGCTATAATTCTTTTTTAATGTACTTAAATATTTATTTTCTTTAATAAAAAACAAAATAATAATAAACTATAAGTAAAAAATCCAAAACATGAGAAAAAGGAAAGGGAAAACCCCAAGATATATTATCTTATAAAAATGGCTCACTTTAAATAAAGTATTAAATATTTACCATACAAGTAATATTTTTCAGTTCTTCCATTATATTGAAGATAACAGCTGGTAGGTAAGTTAGCTGAGTTGAAGGATGTAGGCTGGGAAGGTTTTTCAGAAGCCTGAGTGGGTAGGAAGGTAGCTTCCTGGGAGATATAGGATGATAGAATACCTACTAAAATTCATGATGCTGGAAAGATTAATTAGGTGAGTAAACACTTCTTGAATATATTGTGACACCTTCTCCCACGCAGATTCTTGCCTCAGTCAGCGCTTCCCAATTGATAGAACAATTTGAAAAAAAGATCCTTCAGTAGTCTTATGATGACTGTTATAGGGCTGTCTTATAATTAGCCTCTGGAAAGGGACCGAACAATAGAAAGGATTTTTAGATTTAACAGAGACTTCTTTTATCCAAATGGTCCATTAAAATTCAGATTTTCTTATAATTCAATATCACATTGACATAACATCTTTACATTCCATTGCTTTTCCCAAAACCGTGTTAATAAATGTATATAGCTTAAACCAAAATGAGATAATAGTGGCGAATCCCATATAATAGGTATAATAGGTGTTCTCCCTACATTTTAAATTTCTAGCATAGCATGCTTACTTTAGTGTAGGCTACAGCAGAATTTGTTTCTAACAAGCATGCATAGCTCAGTTACATGGGCCTCTCAGTTTTGATCATCATAGATTGTCAGGATTAAAGTTTAAAACTATTATTTATATAAGTTTATATAAAGTAATTTGTATTCTGAGTTTATGAAATTTATAAAGTAGCTTGGGTTTGAAAGAAAAATCCTAGAGATTTATAAAATGAATGTATGAAAGTTTTTCCCCTTATCTCAGTAATAAAGAGAAAACTTGGTCTGTAATTTATCTTGATTTTTGCATGCATATTAATAATATTTATCATTTTTAGGTTCTTTACAAGAAAAAATATGATGCTGAGAAAGGAACATCGAATTATGCACATATGAAGGAACTTCCAGATGTTAAGCATGCCATGGAAGTTAATAAACACCAGAGTAATGTGAGTATTTTCTCAGCTTAAATAATTAGTTTCTTGTGTGTATTTTAAATGAAATATTTTAGTATTTGACAGATTGGTGAGTAAATAATTGTCTTTTGTGTGATTATTTACATTGTGATTTAGCAGTGTCTTTACATTGGAAAAACATGTGGATGACTTAAACACTAATAATTAACAACTTGTACATAGATGTGGAAGATATGATAAAATACATTCAAGATAATGTATATTTTATCTATTTGAAACGTTTACAAACATTTATTTGGTGTGAGTTCTTGTACCAGCTTTACCTATCATAAAGTTACCAGATTTATAATCTGCAAAGTTATGTGAGAAAGAAAGAAAGAAAGAAAGAAAGAAAGATCAGCAAGACACCTCTTTTTAACTAGCCATAGTTAGCCATAGAATTGGAACTGGCTGTAGAAATCCCTCTCTGTCAAACTTTTTTACTCTTAGGATGGTTTTCCTACTATTGTGTCACAATTTGTTTTGCTGTAATTTAAGAGCAGCGTATTTTATGCTCTGGCATAACAGATAGGTCTTGACTTTCTGTTCAATATCTGATCAGGGTTTGAAAATTGCTGTCATATTTTTCTCTCAGTCATCTTTTCTCAACATACTTCGTTTCTATAATTTTCAAATTTTCAGTCCCTTGATCATACTCATTTCCCTTCTTTGCATCTATTCTGAACTTTCTCTGAATCTCTTTTTAATGCAAGCAAGGATTAGATGTATCACACTTAGGCTGAGTATGGCAAATATAGATTATACGATATTTTCTATGATAATCTGAAACTATGTTTTGATAATCCAGGTGCAGGACTGGATGCCATAGCACACCAGTTGATACTTCAGTCTACTTTGAAGATGACCTTTTAAAAAAGGCTTTCCAATATGAGAAGACAAAATTATGGTGTTGTTGGATATGTTGCAATTCTAATCAACATTCCAAATTCAGAGTTATATAAAAAAGTAAAATTTAACAGATAAGAATTTTATTGATTTTTTTTTAAAATGGCCATATCTAAACCTGCATCATAATTTTTTTAAAAAAAATTCATGATGTCAGTCATTTTGTCATGTATCACAGAAATAGTTCAAAATTATTGTATATTGGAATGTAAGTAAGTTCTAGTGAACTTCATGAGACTTTTTTTTATTAATGTAGTTAATTATACTGAATATGTTTAGTCTGAAAGACTCCTGGAGTAGTTTACAAATCATTAATAAAAAATTAGCATTTATTCCCCAGGATCTCAATTTAAAAAATAGTACGCAAGATGAAAAATAATTGGTGGGAAAACAAAAAGAAAAACCTTCAGATATCAATTTTAATTGTATGTACATTGTACAATGATAAAATAAAATTAAAATACAATGCTATATAATACAATGAATTGAATCAGACTACTGAAAACAAAAGGACAAGTTAAATACAGAAGAAGTTAAGTCATATTGATTCCAGTGGACTTATTCTGTGAAGATTGGATTTAACACATTTAGTAAAAATGCATTGGGTTGGGGAAGTAGGATAACTTTGTGTCTTATTCATCAGTAGAACAGGATGGCTACATAATGTGAATCATAACATAATGTGAATCATCTAATATCCTGCTAAATCAATTCAGCATAAGTCACTGCAGAAGCTACATGTAAATGAGATTATTGAACTATTTCTTCATTATTAAAATAAGAATTATATTTTATAATCTAATATTTGGAGTTGAAAAATTCTTTCCCCCCCAAAGGATGTCTGTCATTTTATGAAAATATTTTTGTATTCCTGCTTTTTATTTCTGAAGTACATCATGATTTATTGTTAGATTTATGAGGAATACCACACGATATAAAAATTTGTTACAAATAAATAGTGTATAATGTCTAAGTGTTATAACTTAATGATGAACTATAACAGAGATCTCAAATTAGTCAAATATAGTTTTGACTGCTAGGAATAGATTATTTTAGTCAATATACTATATTTACCGAAAAGCCATTTGTCACTATTAAATTAATATTCTCAAATCTATATTAGCAATAGCAATAGCACTTAGACTTATATATGGCTTCATAGTGCTTTACAGCCCTCTCTAAGCGGTTTACAGAATCAGCATATTGTTTCCAACAATATGGGTTTTCATTTTACCAATCTCAGAAGGATGGAAATCTGAATCAACCTTGAACTGGTGAGGAATAAACTCCTGGCAGTGATTTGAATTAGCCTGCGATACTGCATTCTGATCACTGTGCTACCACGGCTCCTAAATTATACCATGTTTCCCCGAAAATAAGACCCACCCCAAAAATATACTGATTTTGTGGAGTGATTTTGTCCGGTAGGCCTACCCCAAAAATAAGCCAAGGGTGGTTGGGCATGGCCAGCACAAGAGGCGGCAAGTGTGCAGAAGCCGATGGTGTCCAGCAGCAGCTGCATCCCACCAGCCCATTGGCACAGTGCAGGTAAATCCGAGTCCAGAGGCAGGGGGAGGCAGGCGATCTGGACATGCTGTATGGCTGCTTGGCTCACGGGAGGCTCGTGGGGGGCTTGCATGGTGGCACTGACAGCAGACAGAGGCATAGGGAGGAGGCAGGTAATTTTGGTGCATCTGCAGGCAAGCTAAGAGGCAGTGGGACTGAATGGGTGGTGTGTTGGGATAGCCTGCCTCCCCCATGCCTCTGCTTTCGCCTGCTGCTGATGCTGCCATGCAAGCCTCCCATGAGCCAGGCGGCCACACAGCATGTCCAGATTGCCTATTTCCCCCTGTGCCTCCGGCCCTACCACACACTTTTTGCCCAGAGGGAGACTAGAAACTTCATCTGCTTGCAAATGGAGCGATTTGTCTGGGCACCTATGGGGCACCTGGAAATGGAGCAATTAGTTTCAAAGAGCCCATTTGCAAGCAGATGAACCTTCCAGTCTACATCTGGGCAAAAAGTGTTTGGGCACCTACGGAGCGCTTGGGAATGGAGCAAGTCGTTCCGTTTCCAAGTGCCCCATAGACTCCCAAACAGTTTTTGTGCGGATGGAGAAATCACAAGAGACTGGAAGCTTTGTCTGCTGGCAAATGAGGCTCTTTGAAATGGAGCTAATTGCTCCGTTTCAAAGTGCCCCCTTTGCAAGTAGACGAGGCTTCAATTCTCCATCATTTCTCCATCTGGGCGAAAAGTGCGTCTGCCCTGGGAAGCCCTGTAAGCCATTGCGGCTGCAGGCAAGAAGATGGTGGGAGGAAGTGGGGTGGTGGATGCAAAATAAGACATCCCCGAAAATACAATATGCAAACATTTTTGTACCATGTTTTAAGTGATCAAGAGGATGGCACTTTTCACAGTGGGCCAAAATATTTGATAACAGCATGTTGTTGTTCTGATCTGAACCTTGTGATATTTACTGAAGGACTGAAAATCCATACTCTTTGTCAATCTTTATTTTGTTCCATGTTTTCCTTATTTTCAATGAGGTATAGCAATGTGCAAACTATGTATGAAAGACATTTTAAAAAATAAATGTTTTTCTCCAACATAAATATATCTTCACCCAAGGGCCAGAAGAGTAATAATTCACAGGTAGAAAATATTGAAATAAACTGTACATTAAATCTGATGAAATAACAACTGTATGATTTTTTTTACCATCTCATCTCTATTAAATTAACCACACCATCTTATTTCAATTACTTAATTTATAATAAATAAATAGTAATCTTACTATTTTATTTTATTTACATTACAGATAAATAGTAATCTGTCACGGGAGTACCATAAGATAAATATTTGCTGTAGATTTCACTATAAGATTGGCATTTTTCTCTGGGTTTGCACCTGATTACTTCAATCTTAATTGAAGTCCAGATATTAAGTTTTAATTTACAATTTATATGGAAGATGAGTACCCTTCAAGAACTCTGTTTCTGCTTCCCTTATAATACTGATTTCATCTCATCAAATTTTATGCACTATTACTAATTTCCAGGGCCTTAGACCTACTTTTGGATTCATTCTAGGAAATTACTTCAGTAGTTTGTACCCCTGTAGTGAATGGGACACTTTTTAATACATAATACGTGTCATTTTAATCTTATTTCATCTTAATTTTTTAAAAAATATTAGAAATTCATGAACATAGCAGTTGCTTCCCCCATTAAAATCTACACTGGACACTGTAATACTCTACTTTACTTTGGAAAAAGCTTTATTTATGAGATTTTCTTAACAGAGATGATACATTATTGTTAATATTTAATTTTACACTGAGTTAATTCATTAAAGTAGTCACATTTTTTTTCCAGAACTTGTGCAGAAGTGGAACAAATAGTAAAAAAATTCTGTCCTGGTGGTTTCATGAAATCTAAGTAATTTCCTCAAAATCATTTATTGAAATATGCACAGCCCTAATACAAATTAATATAGTTCAGAAAAAAATGATATCCTTGTTGAAGCAGCTGCCTTTGCATCTAATAACACAGTTGTTTCTATGTGTGAGTGCAGATGAAAGAAAACCGAAAAAATAGAAAATGCATTCAACATGGTTATCAAATTAATTAAATAAAACTAACAGAAATATAGACTGAACAAGAAGAGGGAGAATCTGTTTTTCCTGAAAATGTTGGGAAGCACCCAGCCAAGTAGAGAAGGAGGATGAAGCACGGAGTTAGTCTAGAGTTACTGTGTAGGCCAGAACTGGTCCTCCCTGAATTCATTGGAGCCTTATTTAATTGTTGCCAAGAGAGAGCTGGTAGACTGGGGAGATTCCTGTATTATAGATGGAACATAATAAAGTAGTTCCACACTACTACAGACATATGGGTCTGGTTATTTGCACTTGACTGAAAAGTATCCATCTTTTTCTAGTGCTGAAATGGCAGTGGTAATGAAGTGGCAGGTAATTCTAGAGTCTTGTTCTTACTAAGGGCTTGATTAATTACTAAGCTATTACAGAATGAAGAGGTTTGAAACAGAATATTTTAAAACTCTTACATACAACATACGCACAGTATTAAGATAGCACTCTCACCTTGAACTATGCCTAGAAACCTGAAGCTAAGCCAATTTAGCTGTTTCAGAATTATCAACAAATGATATTTGCTATCATCTCAAACAATGCATTCTAATGTTTTTAATATACAGCAATTTCATCTTGTTTTTAACATAGATGTATTATTTTATAATATAAATCAACATTTATTTGTCCTACCAGTGCATAATAAAATAATGTTAATAAACAGCATTTTATGTTAGTATATTATTATGTTTCTAACAGAGCTGGTTATAATAAGGCATTCATAATATTTTATTTTACAGGTGTCATATAAAAAAGATCTCCAGGATATTCACAAATATACTGAAGTTTCCAATAGACCAGATATAATGATGGCAACAAAGCTAACAAAGCTAATAAGCAATGTATGACATTTCTTACAATTTTTTTTTGAAAAGACACAGTTATCATATTAACATTTTGGTACAGATTAACAACGATAATTAAACTTAGTAACTGAAACTCTAGACTTGCATTCAGATTAATGATAATAATGTGAAAGTGGACTAATATCAGTAATGTATTCCATTTTAAACACTCTAAATATTGTTCCAACATATCTTACTTCTTGCTAGTACTTTTAAAATATTTGTATAATCTTTTGAACAGTTATATGTCTGAGAATAAAACATTTATTAATACAGAACATTGAATATTGCATCCTAACTTCCTTTAATACATTTGTTTAATTGGCCCTTTTTAAAAAAATGTGTTAATAATTTCCTAAATTTTCTTACAGTTTCATTCATTGACTCACCTAATCTTAGGTTTTAAAGATATATGTGTACATAAATATACAGCTGATTAACATAGCATTAAACAGTCATTAATTCTGCTAGATCTTGTTTGTGTTTTTAATATTGTACTAGAATTTGTAATGCAATTTATTAGAAATGTTTTTCTTCCATAAAAGATATTTCTTTTTATCTTACTTTACTCTTAAATTTGAGAATTGCTTTTCAGTTGGTGGTATTACTTTATTCTTGAAGGTGCCACTGGGGTTGCTATTTTCTGTTACACATTTTCCTTTCATAATAGAGTCTCTTTGACTATCTGCTGTTCTCATTCTGAAAAAGCTCCATAGAACATCTTTTACATTGCCTTCTGCTGGCTCGTTTTTGATATTACTTTCTCCAAAGAGTGAGTAGTCTAGTGGAGAGGGAATTATATAGTTAAAAGATCATTCACATCCATCGCTTAGCTCTTTTCATAACTTTTCATGACAAAATAGAAGAATGTGGGATATTCTGCATGTGGATTGCACTGTTTCATTTATTCTGAAAGAAATTTCAAAAGCAATTTTTTATTTTTATCAGATTGAGTGAAAATTGATAAGAAATTGTTCATGAAGATTTTTTTTAGCAAGGCAATAGAGTTTTGCCAATATATAAATTATATGTAAAAAATAGAAGGTGACAACATTTGAGGAGAGATTTATTTTGTTGCTATGGTTAAACAAGATAAAAAATCTTTTTTTTTTCTTGTCTATCTTTTACTATCCATATACAATTCTATGTCAATCCTGTTTTGTCTTTTTCCCAGCAAGTTAAATGATGACTAGTATTAATATATCTACATTTTATTTTGAAGGCTGAATATACAAAAGGAAAACAAGAAATGAGCAAAGAGCCAACTGTACTTGGAAGACTAGACTTTAACCATGCTCAGAAAGTATCCAAGTTGTTAAGTCAAGTAAGGTTTTGATGGATTTTTTGTTCAGCAGAAATATATTTTTCTCAACCATAAAATCAATGTTTTCTTTTTAAGTTGTAATTTTTTTAAAAAATGCATGAAAAATAAGGCCTCAGTAACTTTTTAAAATTTTGTTGTGAAAAAAATGCATTCAACTGACACTATTGAGAAACAATAGCAGCAGCTCACAAACAGATAATAAATCTCAGTTTTGTTATAGAAAGTGATCTGTTTACAATATTTTCATGTGCTCCACATAGTATGTGGTATGCTGGGTTGTGTTTGGTGCTGAATTTTGTTATTGCAAATGTTTTTAAAAAATTGTATTGAAAACAGGGAATAATTTTAGTAGAGATGAATTCTCAATACAGCCATTAACCTAAAAAGAATGACTTGACTTTATATCATGATATATGACACCAAATAATACTAATCCAATATGAAGGATTCTTCAAATCAGAAAATTGGAATAAAATGATATTTTATAATTAAGCTCAAGACAGTTTTTTGGAAAGGCAAACTAAATTCATTAAGTCAAAACATCTCAGGGAAATCAGGTTGCTTGTAGCTGATATAATTCTCTAGATCTCTAGATATTTTTTTTTCTCAGAGAAAAAGCAGTGTGATGGGGGGGGGTTTGAAAAAATATAATTAAAAGTGGTGACTATGGGACAGATATTTGATTGCTTAAATGTTATGCACAATTACTATTTTTTACTGAATCTTGATCAGCCAGAAATCTTGGCCCAAATTTAGTAAAATGACAAACTGATTATATCCTGTAGTACAGGGGTGTCAAACTGGTGGCCCGTGGGCCAGGTACGTTATGCGCAGGCCACGGCCACCTGGCTCTGCAAATGCTTCATGATACATCATGTGATGCAATCAAATTTGACACCCATGCTGTAGTAGATAGATTATACTTAGGACAGTTAGCTCAGTTCTCATCTTGTAAATTGACAATTAAACAAATTAAACAGATAGTTTCAATTTGAAAACTGCAGATAATTATTTATTTTGAATTCAATAAATATTAATACATATAATATGCTTATTGCCAATCAAGTTTTTAAACAATCTGAATTACTGCAACAGCAACAATATATTCAATTAAAACATAATTTGATTTCATAGTTCAGACCAGACACTTTAGCAGCTTCTGAACCTTGCAAATTATTATCAGCACTGAAGTATATTTCTGATTCAACAACAGTTTCTTTCATAGACATCTTGGGTAACATATAAAAATGGTTCATTGTCAATGTCATTATACTGAAAGTGAAAAATAATGGAGGCGACATTTAAAAATCCACATCTGTTTGTTTTAGGCTTAAATATGTGAAAGTGATTTGAATTCTATACTAGGAATTTGGAATTTATCATTATATGAAGAACTACATATTTATCATGAATGGGACATTTTAAAAATGTTATTCTTTTATAGTGTCACCCCTGATATACATGTCCCCTTTCTTTGTAAGTAGAACAAGTTTTTTAGTGATATAACCAAAAAAAAATGATCAGTATTATTCTATGTAATCAAAGTTTAACACCACTAATTTTTCCTTTTGATACCCTTTTATTCTTTTCAGTATGCTAAAGTAATATAAATAAAATAATAATAAATATCTGAATTCTTCAGAAATATATTATTTATAGTGATATATTTATTTCCTAGGTTAAATATAAAGAACAGCTTATTAAAGAAATGAAGAATAATTGCTTCAATCCTCTTGAAAGTGCTTTTTTCAAGCAAGCTCAACTGGCTTCTGTATTGGCAAGTGATGTAAGTGGATTTTTTTGGAAGGGGGGGGAACATTTCACTACATTTCTTGTAGTGAATACTGTAGGGAGTTCCTCGGTTTGCATTTAAAATTCCCTAGAATAATTTCCTTAAATTTTAATTGGAAATGTCTAGTCCCTGTTAAATGTTTTATTTTGCTCCTAGATGGAATGTTTTCTGATTACATTTTGGCACTCTACAGTAAAGGAGTGCCACCTTATGGCCATTATAAATATGAAATAAATACATTCTGATTTTTTGCAAAGAAATTGGAAATGTCTTATTTCTGTTCTGCCTTTTGGTACTTTCACCAAAGAAACTTGTTTCCTTTTTAAAGGTAAAATACAAAAAAGAAAGTCTGGACAGTCTTCATGAACCAGCATCTGCATTTCCAAACCTATTGCAATTAGAGCATGCATTGAATGCCAGCAAGATCCATAGTAATGTAAGCTGAACTTTTTGTAGTTATTTTGGTAAATGGCAGGATAGCTAAATTTTCAAGAAAGTTATTATTTCAAGCTACTTCTTCCTCCCAAGAAATACATTTGTTCTGCTCATTGGATTTTTATTTCTATAGCTTGAATCAGAATCAGCTGTTGGAAGATTTTTTTTTGTGAGCAATACATGTTTCTTTCAAACATTTTGTCAGTGTTGGAATATTGTAAACTAGCCTTCTTAATGCAGACATTTTCCAGAAGGAAAAATTCTTAGATGTAAGAATATTCAATTAGGATGCCATTTATAAGAATTCTGGGAGTTGAAATCCACATTTTGAGGGAGTACCAGTTTGGGGAAGGCTGTTGTAAGCACTGGTTGAGAAGCTACCTCTAATGAACATCTGGTGGCATTTCCACACCACTACAATTTCTACTTGATTTCTCCATATTAAAAGGAAACTAAAGCAGCTTAAAGAACCTTGTCTGTTTTCTTCAGAGGTGTTGAAGTTGACTTCAGAGATGCTGGTCTTGAAAAGCTGATTGAATACAGTAATGAGTCAATCAATGTTCATGCTAATTGAACAGTGTCTTGTCTTTAGATATAACTAATATTAAAACAAGAACAACATAGATTCCCACATCCCATCAAGACAAAAGAAATAAATTACCAGGCCTAATTTCCCCTACACAATGCATACATTTGTGTGGTGATCTGTAATAAATAAATGCAGGTCTCACCAGTGGAGAAGCTTCCTTGCCTCAAGGCCATCATTTCTTTTGCATTTCAAAGCATTTTGTAAGTGCTTTTGCAGTAGCTGTAACTGTGATTGCATTAACTGAGGTGGCCGGAGTGAGGAAGAGACAGAGCTACATTCCATACAATGAATATAAATGCTAGAAATAAGATAATGAAATTTATATTATAATGAAGGGGGAGACTAAATTATTGTTTTGAATTCAGGAAAGAGGATGCGACAAAGTTTCCCTAAGAAGGAAGACAATCTATGCAATTTTTTTGCCATAGTAATTCAAATTCTGATAATTCAATTTCAAATAAACCAGCATAAATTTAATAATAAACTCACTCAGTTCCCCAATATAACCAGCTACATGATATCAAACAGAAGCTACCACTAATGTAAAGATTTTAGTCTAAACAATTGAAAAATCATCAGTGATATGTTCATATGTGCATTTATATGTGCTAGGGCTCTACGAACTTCAAAAAGACTGGCTTTCTCATTTTAAATGTTCATAATTATTGGTTGAGGACATTGCAGCAGCAGAGTCATTTGTTGGAATTGTTTGAAGTATTTTGAAGATCTAGCAAAACAGAAATGGGCAAATTTTAGGCCAGTGATGGTGAACCTTTTGGAGACCGAGTGCCCAAACTACAACCCAAAATCCACTTATGTATCATTGGGTGCTGGGTGGGCATGGCCCATTGGGTGGGTGTTGCCCTTTGGGTGGGCATGGCCCATTGGGTGGGCATGGCTTCAGTGGAAATGGCAGACTGGCCGGGACTAAAAAGTTCAATCAATTAATTCCAACTTTGCGAGATCTTTTTTTTCCTGTGAGAAGTTGAAATTGATTGATTGATTGAACCTTTTTTTTTTTTGCATACAGTGGCGGAGGCCTAAAGCGAAAAAGTTTTATAAAACCCAGCTGAAGGCCTAGGACTGGGCCGACAGTGTGCATGCTCACAGAGAGGGCTCTGTGCCATAGGTTCGCCACCACAGTCTTAGGCTATGATCAGTCTGTGAAATATTTTTTTTCTTGGTTCCATAGCTCCCCAATATTGTGTTATGTAAGAGCAGTGATAAGTTGCCAAATTTATAATTGCTTGCCAATTTTCAGTTGGGAGAGGTGATAAGGAAAGTTAAGGTAGCTGAATAAATTTAATATTAAAAAAGTTGTAAGCTATATCTATACCTCCAAGAGAGGGGAAAACTACAAAAATATCAATCTTGCCCTCTTTAATGCTGTGATCACATCCTTGTCTAGTAATAGTAATAGTAGTAAAGTTGGAAGGGACCTTGGAGGTCATCTAGTCCAACCCCCTGCTCGGGCAGGAAACCCTACACCATTTCGGACAAATGGCTGTCCAGTCTCTTCTTAAAAACTTCCAGTGTTGGAGCATTTACTGCTTCTGGAGGCAAGCTGTTCCACTGATTAATTGTTCTCACTGTCAGGAAGTTTCTCCTTAGTTCTAGGTTGCTTCTCTCCTTGATGAGTTTCCACCCGTTGCTTCTTGTCCTGCCTTCAGGTGCTTTGGAAAATAGCTTAATTCCCTCTTCTTTATGGCAGCCCCTGAGATATTGGAATACTGCTATCATGTCCCCCCTTGTCCTTCTCTTCGTTAAACTAGACATACCCAATTCTCGCAACCGTTCCTTATATGTTTTAGCCTCCAGTCCCCTAATCATCTTTGTTGCTCTTCTCTGTACTCTTTCTAGAGTCTCAACATCTTTTTTACATCGTGGTGACCAAAACTGGATGCAGTATTCCAAGTGTGGCCTTACCAAGGCATTGAAGAGTGGTATTAATACTTCACGTGATCTTGATTCTATCCCTCTGTTAATGCAGCCTAGCACTGTGTTGGCCTTTTTGGCAGCTGCAGCACACTGCTGGCTCATATTTAAGTGATTGTCTACTAGGACTCCGAGGTCCCTCTCACAGTTACTACTATTGAGCATGGTGCCACCTATGCTGTACTTGTGCATTTGGTTTTTCTTGCCTAAATGTAGAACCTTGCTTTTTTCACCATTGAATTTCATTTTGTTAGTTAGTGCCCAGTGTTCAAGTCTGTCCAGATCCTTCTGTATCTGAAGCCTGTCTTCTGGAGTGTTGGCTATTCCTGCCAGCTTGGTGTCATCTGCAAATTTGATGAGTTCCCCATCTATCCCTTCATCCAAATCGTTGATGAAGATGTTGAAGAGTACTGGGCCCAGAACAGAGCCCTGGGGCACCCCACTACACACTTCCCTCCATATAGATGCAGTTCCATTGAGGACCACTCGCTGAGTACGGCCGGTCAGCCAGCTACGGATCCATCTGGTGGTGGTTCTGTCTACCCCACATTTTTCTATCTTGTCAAGTAGTAGGTTGTGATCTACTTTATCAAATGCCTTACTGAAGTCCAAGTAAATTATGTCCACAGCATTCCTCTGATCCACTAATTTTGTCACTTGGTCAAAGAATGCAATAAGATTTGTCTGGCATGATCTATTTTTGACAAACCCATGTTGGCTTTTAGTAATGACTTTGTTTGCCTCTAGGTGTTCGTTGATTCGTTGTTTGATTATCTTTTCCAGGATCTTCCCAGGTATTGAGGTCAGGCTGATAGGTCTGTAATTTCCTGGATCCATTTTTTTTCCTTTTTTGAGGATGGGAACTACATCAGCTCTTTTCCAGTCCTCTGGTAGTTCCCCTGTGTTCCAGGATCTTTGAAAAATATAGTTCAGTGGCTCCGATATCACATCTGCCAGTTCCTTGAGAACTCTGGGGTGTAATCCGTCTGGTCCTGGCGATTTGAACTCATCTAGGCTGGACAGGTGCTCACTAACGATTTTCTTGCCTATCTTAACTTGTGTTTCTGTTTTGTTTTTTGTGGCACTATTTTTGATAGGTTGGTCTGTTTTTTCCCTTTGTGTAAAGACAGATGCAAAAAATGAGTTAAATAGTTCTGCTTTCTCCCTGTTGCTTGTCACCTTCTTGCCACTTCCACCCACTAATGGACCAATCATTTCCTTCACTTTTTTCTTGTTTTTTACATGTTGAAAGAAGCTTTTTTTGTTATTTTTGACTTTGGTCGCAAGCCTCAGTTCGTTTTGAGCCTTGGCTTTCTTCACTTCATCTTTGCAGGCTCGGGCTATTTGCTGATATTCTGACTTAGTTATGTTCCCCTCTTTCCACTTTCTATACTTGTCCTTTTTATTTTTCAATTTGTCAGAGAGTTCTTTATGCAGCCATGCTGGTTTCTTTTGAGAGCTGTTATTTTTCCTCTTTGGTGGTATTGTGCTAGACTGTGCTTTTATTATCTCATTTTTCAAAATTTCCCAAGCTTCTTGAGTTGTTTTCCCCTTGAGGATTCTCATCCATGGAATCCTTCCCAAGCCCTCTCTAAGTTTATTGAAATTAGCTCTCTTGAAGTCCAAGACTCTAGTTTGACTGTGTTCTATTGGTTGTGCTTCTATAATGTTGAATTCTAATATTGCATGATCACTTCCTCCCAGGGTTCCTATGGCTCCAACACCGTCTATCATTTCATCTCTGTTAGTGAGAATTAGATCCAAAATGGCTAATCCCCTAGTTCCATTCTCTACTTTTTGGGAGACAAAGTTGTCTGCTAGGTTTGCCAGGAACCTGTTTGATCTTCCACTTGGTGCGGAGTTTGTCTCCCAGTTGATGTCAGGGTAGTTAAAGTCCCCCATTACTATTGTGATGTGCTTCCTACATACCTTAGTTAGCTGACTAGCAAAAAGTTCATCTATCTCCTCTGTTTGGTTGGGTGGTCTGTAGTATACACCTATGGCAATGTCATTTCCCCCCCCTTTTATATTGACCCAAATGCATTCAAGACAGTTTTTATCATTGTTGTACTCTATTTCTGTGAAGATGTAGTTATTTCTTATATAGAGAGCAACTCCACCTCCTCTTTTATTTGGTCTGTTTCTTTTAAATAATTTAAATCCCTCTAGCTGTGTGTTCCATGTGTGAGTTTCATTCCACCATGTTTCCGTAATGGCCCTCAGCCACTCAAAAATTACTTTTTAATGTCCTAAAACACAGTTCTTTATTATTTATTTATTTACATGCATGCATGCATGCATACATACATACATACATCCCACTTTTATTACTTTTGCAAATAACTCAATGTGGCAAACATATTCCCTCCTTTTTTTCTCCACAATAACAACTTTGTGAGCTTTGGTTGGGCTGAGAGAGTGATTCACCCAAATCACCCAGCTGGTTTTCATGGCTAAGGTGGGACTCTCCTGCTTTCTAGCCTTAATCGCTAGACCAAACTAGCGTCTTGTATCTTGCAAAATGTAATTCTTCAATTTAATAGAGATCTGTCAATGGAGATATTTGGGGCGATATTTTGATTCTGTTTTGTTGAATGATATGGGCTTCAGAATGCTTAGCAAGTCTCAACATCTGCTTTGTTTTTCCAGACTTGTTATATCCATTATGAAGGTGCTAAATTTCTGACTGACAGAAGAGACAGATACTTCTAAAAGTTACTTTCTTCCCATCTTTCTGAATTATCATAGCAAAAGTACTCTTTTTCACTTTTAAAACAGATAGAAATGAAATAATATTTAATTGATTCTAATAGGTCACTGAAGACAGATATTGGTTCCTACAGTTCAGAAAACACTAATATTTAAATAGATAGAAGTTGCTACTGACATAGAGTGGGTCTTGAAGGATTACATGTGACCTTCCATATTGACGGGCTTTTCAGGCTTCTACCTTGCCCAATAGTCAAAAGATATTTTGGAGCTCTGTTGTCTCAAATGGGAAAGAATACCCTTGGATCACACCTGATGTTCAGTGTATTCAGTATCAATATCAGTATTCAATATCAGTTTTCAGAATACTGATATTGAGTAATTGAAACACCAATTTTCAGTGACACAGTTCTCACAGAACTGCCTCAAAGATCCCTCCCCCTATAGTTCTCATATGCATTTAAGTAATCATTGTACAAACAACTGACAGTTGCAGACTCCCCCTTTGTCAAAAAAGAGATCTCTCTCCTTTCTAGGGCATCATAACTTGGTGAAATATATACGTATAAAGTCCCTACCCTAATGTACCCAAAGATATACTGGCTCTAAATTCAAAATATAGTTCGAAATTTAAAGATATATTTACTTTTTTCAGTATGAATATAAGAAAGTATTTGAAAAAACTAAGGGACTCTATCATTTTGAAGTGGATACTGCTGAACAGCTGCACCACAAAGAAAACGCAGTCCTGCAAAGTCAGGTATGCCCACGTACTCTATAAACTTAGAAGTGCATACTTAATATATTAACACTTATATTGCTGGATTGTATAAAATGAAGGGTGAAAGATATTGAACACATATAAAGAAAGGAAATATATTTCCTCCTTTTTTCCCTTGTTTGGCGCTTTTGTAGTCCAAAGTTCCATCTGTTATTGCATTAAAGTCTCCCATTATACAAAGATTTTGATAGTTTAAATCTAATATTTTTATATTGTTTTTGGTAAAATTGTTTTAGTTTATCATTTGGTGCATATATTACTAACATCAGTATCTGTTTTTGATCCATCATTATTTCCACCATTAATATTCTCCCCTCTTCATCTGCATAGATTTGTTTGGGGTTCAATATTTCTTTAATGTATAAAGCTATTCCTCTTTTCTTTTGAAGTGCTAATGCAAAATAAAGTTTACCAATTTTTGCTTGTTCTAACAACTTATAATGTTGTCTCTTAATGTGTGTTTCTTGAAGACAAATTATATCCATTTTTAATTTTTGTAATTGTGTAAAGATTTTTCTCCTTTTTGAAGGATAATTTAGTCCATTTATATTCATTGACAAAATCCCACTCTCCTCCATCTCTTTCAATTATATCTAGTCTTAATCTTCTAGTTGATCTTATCTGTCTCTGATCTCTTGGTCTTGCTCCTTCTTCTGTATGTGTGTTTTTAATTTCTTTCTCCTCTCTTGGTTTGACTGCTCCTTCTACTGCCATTTCTTCCTGTTTCTTTGTTTCTCTCTTTGTACCAGATTCAGGGTCACCTCTTTCCAAAAATGCTCTATGGTTGTCGAAGAATTCCATTGCTTTAAGTGGATATATCTTTTTGTATCCCAGTAAATTAAAATCTCTTTTGGAATCAGCTATCTGAAATTCACTCCTTTTTCAATTAATTTCCTAGTTAGAAACTGGTATTCTCTTCGGGATTCTCTTATTTTTCTAGGAATTTGTTTGAGGACTACAATTTTTTTCCCTTTGTATTTCAAAGGTTTGTCTCTTATGCATCTCAAAATCTCGTCTCTTGTAGATCTTTTAAGAAATCTAACATGTACTTCCCTGGGGACTTTATTTCTTCTAGCTCGAAGACTCGATAGATCTGATCTAATTCTCCTTCCATTTGCTGTTTCCCAGTTCCTAATGCGTCTGCCAATAATTCAGTTATCAAACCTAGGAGATCCTCTTCTTTATCTTCCATTATATTTTTAAATCTTAAAAAGTATGAGGCTCTTTCCATCTCCATCCCAGCTATCGAGTCTTCTAGTTCTTCATTTATTTGGATCAACTTCTGATTTTCATCTTTTAAAACTTCTACTTTCTGGTCAGTTGATTTATCTTCTATTTTTTGAATTCTTTGTTGATTATCTGTGATCATCTGTTTAAAATTTTCAAATTGAGAATCCATATTGTTAATTTTTTTATTCATTTTATCAAAATCACTTTTCAAATCCTCATGGTTTCTCGATGTGACCGCCATGTGAGTAGCGATTGCTTCTTGAATTGCTTGTAGAATCGGTTGAATGGCCTTTTGGAAGGTATTAGCCTTTTCTTTCCTTTCAGGAAAGGAAAGTCCGATGCTGTAAAGATTTTTTCTCCATAGGAACCTGGAATGTAAGATCCATGAATCAAGGCAAGCTAGATGTAGTCAAAAAAGAGATGACAAGACTGAACATCGACATCTTAGGAATCAGCGAACTAAAATGGACAGGAATGGGTGAATTTAACTCAGATGACCATCAGGTATACTACTGTGGGCAAGAATCCCTCAGAAGAAATGGAGTAGCCTTCATAGTCAATAAAAGAATAGGAAAAGCAATACTGGGATACAATCCCCAAAATGACAGAATGATCTCAATTCGAATCCAAGGCAAACCATTCAATATCACAATAGTCCAAATCTATGCCCCAACCACTGGTGCTGAAGAGGATGAAATTGACCAGTTTTATGAAGCCCTACAGCACCTTATAGAATTAACACCAAAAAATGATGTCCTTATCATCATGGGGGATTGGAATGCTAAGGTAGGAAGCCAAAAGATAACCGGAATAACAGGCAAGTTTGGCCTTGGAATACAAAATGAAGCAGGGCACAGGCTAATAGAATTTTGTCAAGAGAATACGATGGTCATAACAAACACTCTTTTCCAACAACCCAAGAGACGGCTCTACACATGGACATCACCAGACGGTCAACATAGAAATCAGATTGACTATGTGCTCTGCAGCCAAAGATGGAGAAGCTGTATACAGTCAGGAGCTGACTGTGGCTCAGATCATGAGCTTCTTGCTGCAAAATTTAGGCTTAAATTGAAAAAAGTAGGGAAAAGCACTAGGCCACTCAGGTATGAACTAAATAATATTCCTGATGAATATACAGTAGAGGTGACAAATAGATTTAAGGAATTAGATCTGATAGACAGAGTGCCTGAAGAACTATGGATGGAAGTTCGCAACATTGTACAAGAGGTAGCAACTAAAACCATCCCAAAGAAAAAGAAATGCAAGAAAGCAAAATGGCTGTCTGAGGAAGCTTTGCAAATAGCTGAGGAAAGAAGGGAAGCGAAAGGCAAAGGAGAAAGAGAAAGATACACCCAATTGAATGCAGAATTCCAGAGAATAGCTAGAAGAGATAAGAATGCCTTCTTAAATGAACAGTGCAAAGAAATAGAAGAAAACAACAGAATAGGGAGGACCAGAGATCTCTTCAAGAAAATTGGAGATATGAAGGGAACGTTTCATGCAAAGATGGGCATGATAAAGGACCAAAATGGCAGAGACCTAACAGAGGCAGAAGAGATTAAGAAGAGATGGCAAAACTACACAGAAGAACTATACAAGAATGAGCTTAACATCCCAGATAACCACAATGAGATGGTCACTGACCTCGAACCAGACATCCTAGAATGTGAAGTGAAATGGGCCTTAGAAAATCTGAGCAACAACAAAGCTAGTGGAGGTGACAGTATTCCAGCTGAGCTATTCAAAATCTTAAAAGACGATGCAGTAAAAGTGCTACACTCAATTTGCCAGCAAATTTGGAAAACTCAACAGTGGCCACAGGATTGGAAAAGGTCAGTTTACATTCCAATTCCAAAGAAAGGCAATGCCAAAGAATGTTCAAACTATCGCACCATTGCACTCATTTCACATGCTAGTAAAGTTATGCTTAAAATCCTACAAGCTAGACTCCAGCAGTATGTAGATCGAGAACTACCAGAAGTACAGGCAGGATTTCGAAGAGGCAGAGGAACTAGAGATCAAATTGCCAACATACGCTGGATCATGGAGAAAGCTAGGGAGTTCCAGAAAAACATCTACTTCTGCTTCATTGACTATGCAAAAGCCTTTGATTGTGTGGATCACAACAAATTGTGACAAGTTCTTAAAGAGATGGGAGTACCAGACCATCTCATTTGTCTCTTGAGAAACTTATATGCGGGTCAAGAAACAACAGTGAGAACTGGACACGGAACCACTGATTGGTTCAAAATTGGAAAAGGAGTCCGGCAAGGCTGTATACTGTCGCCCTGCCTATTTAACTTATATGCAGAGCACATCATGAGAAAGGCAGGGCTAGATGAATCAAAAGTTGGAATTAAGATTGCCGGGAGAAATATCAACAACCTAAGATATGCAGATGATACCACTCTAATGGCAGAAAGTGAAGAGGAACTAAAGAGCCTCTTGATGCGGGTGAAGGAGAGTGCAAAAGTTGGCTTGAAACTCAACATTAAGAAAACCAAAATCATGGCATCCGGCCCTCTCAATTCCTGGCAAATAGATGGGGAAGAAATGGAGGTAGTGACAGATTTTATTTTTCTGGGCTCCAAGATCACCTCAGATGGGGACTGCAGCCAAGAAATTAAAAGACGCTTGCTCCTGGGGAGGAAAGCTATGGCAAATCTAGACAGCATACTAAAAAGCAGAGACATCACCCTGCCAACAAAAGTGCGTATAGTCCAGGCCATGGTTTTCCCAGTTGCAATGTATGGCTGTGAAAGTTGGACCATAAGAAAGGCTGAGCGCAAAAGAATTGAGGCCTTTGAACTATGGTGCTGGAGAAGACTCCTGCGAGTCCCTTGGACTGCAAGGCGTTCAAACCAGTCAGTCCTAGAAGAGATCAACCCCGACTGCTCTTTAGAAGGCCAGATCCTGAAGTTGAAACTCAAATACTTTGGCCACCTAATGAGAAGGAAGGACTCACTGGAGAAGGGCCTAATGCTGGGAAAGATTGAGGGCAATAGAAGAAGGGGACGACAGAGAATGAGATGGCTGGATGGAGTCACTGAAGCAGTAGGTGTGAACTTAAATGGACTCCAGAAGATGGTAGAGGACAGGAAGACCTGGAGGAACGTTGTCCATGGGGTCGCGATGGGTCGGACATGACTTCGCAATTAACAACAACAACAACAAGCCTTTTCTTGTTGAAGCATTGTATCGATTGCTTTCTGATAGACTGGACTTGAAGAAGCCAAAGAGGGAGCAGAAGATCCTTTTTTTCTAACTTTAAATAAGTTAGGAGCACTCATCTTTATCTTTAAATGATATGTTGTAATCCACCAAATAAGTCAAAATTTATAATCCAATAGGGGCCTAACAAATAGGAGAGGTAAACAATAAAAATAGTAAATGGTAAAAAAGAGCAAAAGGGAAAAAAGAAAAAATAGAAAAAAAGAAAAAAAATACCAAAATTTGTAATCCAAAGTATTCTGTTCGGAGGGATTTCTTGTTATTCACTCTTTCAAAACAGCTTGTAAAGATTCCAGGTCAAGCTGTATTTGTAATCCAGGGCAGTTCGATGACTTCAAACACAGTTTTTATTTATAATTGTAATTCATCCTGTAAGACAGGGCAATCCAAAAAGAGTCTTTCTTTTCCAGCCACAATCTTCAGGACTTTAAATTCAAAAGACACCAAAATGTTTAAACTATACAGCCAAGTTTTACTCCAATCAGAGCAACTCAGGAAAATAAAGACAAAAAGAAAAGCAAGGCTGCATGTAGTTCTCAGTTTTGCCACTAGATGTCATTAGATGTCCATTCCCACCATACTTTAAAAAAGTTTAAGAACTTAAAAACCCAATGGTTTCCAAACAAGAAATAAACAAAAAAAGATTTATAAAACCAAAAGTTTTCCCAGTTATCCTTCTTTTATGCCTCAGTCATCTTCATAATATTGTTATAAGTAAGTTTTAATTTCCCCAAAGCTTGGGGATTTCTTGCTTTTGAATACTGTTTCCCAAAATCGGTATTTCCACTTGTAGAGAGATAAGGAAAGTAATCAGTTGTTTTGCCTTCCGCTTTAAAATTCGTTGTCTCTGATGATCAGCTGCGTCTGGCAAACTGCATGGGTGTGGTCAGCCTTTCTTCCTGCCAGTCCTGAGGGCTCCTTTGGATCAAGCGGGCCAGCTACCGCTGGCCTTCAATCTGCAATTTTTCACTCTTTGGCCACTCGCCTCTACGGGACTCACCAGCTGGTAGAAATTGGGCTTGAGGAAGGGGGATTCATTCCCCAGCGCCCATCTTGCAGCGACGTCACCAGAAACTCTAAAGCATTTTTAAAAATGACAGAACTCCAAGATATATGGAGAGAAAAAAATCCAAAGAAATTACAATATACATTTTACTCAAATAGACATAAATCATGGTCTAGAATTGATATGATATAGACATCTTTGGAACTTAATATGATGATACAAGAAATTGAGATAGAAACTAATGTTTGGGCAGATCATAACTCAATAAAGATGACTTGGAGAGGAACTAAGAAAAAGTGGTCCTTGAATAAATCTATATTGGAAGAAAAAGAATTTTTACAACTAGCGACAAAGGAAATGGATTTTTTTCTTCAAAATAAACAAGAAAGAAGAAACATCATTTTAAAATGTGTAGGATATGGCCAAAGCATATTTCAGAGGGTTGGCTTTAACTTATATCACTAAAAAGAATAAAGAAAAGAAACAACAACAGTTAAAGTTGAAGGAAGAATTCAGAAAGTTAGAATCAGAATTACAAATAGATCCACAAAAGAAAATACTTAAGAAACAAATGGAGATAATAAAACATAAATTAAATGGAAATAATGGCTCAACAGATTAAAATGGCTAAACAGAATTTCTTTGAAAATGGCAACAAGCCGGGGAGATGGTTAGCATATAGACTGAAAAAAAGAAAAAGAGACAAAATTGATAAACAAGCTGCAAGATCCAAAAGGTGAATTACAGTTTCAAAATGATACAATTAAAAAAATATTAAAGATTATTATGAGATACTTTATAAGAGAGAGGAAATTCCAAAAGAAAAAATATAGCAATACTTAAAAAAAGCAGACTTACCAAAAATTCCAGAGAACATTCGAAACATATTAAATGGAAAAATATCAGTGATGGAGATTATAGAAGCTATAAAAAGGAAAAAAAAGGATAAGACTCCTGGCCCATATGGATTACCTGCAGAGTTTTATAAATCACTACAAGATGTATTACGTCCGATCCTGAAAGAACTGTAATGAAATTCTCCTGGAGGCTAAAATACCAAATACATGGACTGAAGCCAACATTACTTTAATACCCAAAGAAGACTCTGATTTAATGCAAATAAAAAATTATAGACTAATATCACTATTAAATGTAGATTACAAAATCTTTGCCTCAATAATGACACAAAGATTAAAGAAATTTTTGATCGAATTTATTCATACAGTCCAAAATGGTTTCCTACCTAAAAGACAGATAAAAAATAATTTAAGAATGATTTTTCATGTGTTAGAGTACTGTGAAATTCATTCAGGGAAACAGATGGCTTTAATATTTCTTGATATGCAGAAAGCATTTGACAATATAAACTGGCAATTTATGTTTCAGCAATTTGCAGAAATGGACTTTGGAAAAAACTTTATAAATGTAATCAAAACAATTTACTGTAAACAAACAGCCAAAATAATTGTAAATGGAGATCTTACAGAAAACTTCAATATTAAAAAGGGCACAAGACAGGGATGCCCACTATCTCCATTACTATTTGTACTAACATTGAAAGTACTGAATAGAAACATTAGACAAGATATAGAAATTAAAGGACTGGAGATAAAAGATGAAAAATATAAACTACAAGCATTTGCAGATGATTTGGTTTTCATATTGGAAGATCCATTGGAAACAAGCACCAAACCTCTGGAGAAAATAGAAAAATTTGAGAAGTGGCAGGGTTGACAATAAAAGAGAAAAGACTAACGTGCTAACAAAGAATCTAACAGAAAAACAAAAAAAAAATCAACAAAAAACAAATCTTCAAATAATTAAAAAAGTTAAATATTTGGGAATTTATCTAACAGCAAGATATGTAACAATAAAAGAAGATAACTATGTAAGACTGCTAAAACAAATAAAATTGGATTTGGAAAAGTGGAAAAACTTTCAATTTTCAATGTTGGGGAGAATAGCAACAGTGAAAATGAATATACTCTTTTCATTTCAAAAGATTCCTGTAAGGCTGGGAAAAGCCTTTTTTGATGAACTGAATACAATAAAATTGAAATTTATCTGGCAAGTAAAAAAAGCTGGAATTAGAGTGAAAATGCTACAAGAAGCGAAAGAAAGTAGAAGATTTGGACCGCCGGACTGGAGATTATACTACCAAGCAACTATTTTAACATGGCTTAAAGAATGGATAATGCTTAGAGACAAAAGTCTATTGTACCTAGAGGGGCATGACCTTCAAATTGGTTGGCATGCCTTTCTGTGGTATAGGAAGAATAAAATACATAGATACCTTCAAAATCATTTTATAAGGAATGCACTTCTTTCAGAATGGGAAAAAAATAAAATAAAACATTTATATTAAGATACCTGAATGGCTTTCAACAATGGAAGCTTTTGCTTATCCAAATTTAATTGACTACAATAAAGTTGTGACTTATAAAGATATTTTGGACAATGAAGGAAAATTGAAAGACAGACAAGATTTACAAGGTATTAATCTAGCATGGTGACCATATCTGCAAATTCAAACGAGATATGAAAAAGATGTTAAAACATGGGATTTTATAAAGAACAGACAGAATTTGATCAGATAACTGCTAAAAACAGATGAAAAATGTTTAAGAAACTATAGGTTTCTGTTAAACTTAAAGATGGAGAAAGAATAAGTAAAAGAAACAATGATAACATGGGCAAAGAACTTTGGATATAGAATTAGAAGATTGGCAAAAGTTATGGGAAAGAAATATTAAATTAACTAAAGCAGTGGCATATAAAGAAAACTTATATAAAATGTTTTACATATGGCATATGACACCAGTGATATTAGCAAAAATGTTTAAAAATACTTCAAACAACTGTTGGAAATGCAAACAAAGACCAGGTACTTATTATCATATCTGGTGGACATGCCCTAAAGCAAAAAGATTTTGGGTTAAAATACATTTATGGCTGGAGAAAATGACTAAAAAACAAATAGACTTTAAACCAGAATTATTTTTGTTAGGAATAATAGGAGCTAATTATGAGAAAGATTACAAATATTTAATACTACACATACTAACTGCAGCAAGAATTGTATTTGCCCAACATTGGAAAAATGAAAATTTACCAGCTGAAGAAGTACTAATTAAGAAAATTCTAGAGTCTGCAGAAATGGGTAGACTGACTTTAAAGATAAAAGAGAAAAAAGACTCAGTGTACTTTAGAACATGGGATAATTTCTATCAATGGCTAGAAAAACGAGTTAGAGAGAAAGGAATGTAATTTTGAATATATATTAGCAAGAAGAAGGCTATTAAGTGATTAATTAACATATTGTTTATGATAATTAATTATTATCTATTATTGTTTGTTAAACACATGAATCCAGACATTATGTTAAATATTGAGAATGTTATTTGGAAAAACCTCAACCCCAACCCTAATCCTAACCCTAACCCAAATCCCAACCCCAACCCTGACCCCACTTTATTCCTAACCCTATAAAAACTAATAAAATCTATACAAAGAAAAGAAAAGAAAGGAAATATACATGTAAATGATTCACTTTCCTAGAGATAAAAAGAGAATTACTTTTCATGTGAAAGCTTTGATTCTAATTAGTTTATAGATGAAATAAGGTGCTATTGAGTTTTAATTTGATATTGATGTCTGATGTTTTTATTAGGTTAAGTATAAGGAGAGATATGAAAAATCAAAAGGCAAGTCTATGCTAGAATTTATGGACACACCAACATACCAAGTTTCAAAGGAAGCTCAAAAGTTTCAAAGTGAGGTAAGTGAAATCTTTTTAGAAGTTATTATTATAGGTAGTCCTCGACTTACAACCACAATTGAACCCAAAATTTCTGTGGCTAAGTGAGACATTTGTTGCGAGTTTGTCCACATTTAATGGCCTTTCTTGCCATAACGGTTAAGTGAATCACTGCAGTTGTTAAGTTAGTAACACAGTTATTATGTGAATCTGGCTTCCCCGTTCACTTTGCTTGTCAGAAGGTCGCAAAAGGTGATCACATGACCCTGGGACACTGCAACTGTCATACAGTAAATATGAATCAGTTGCCAATTGTCTAAATTTTGATCACATTACCATGCGGATGCTGCAGTGGTCATAAATGTGAATAACTGTTATAAGTAATTTTTTCAGTGCCATTGTAATTTTGAGTGGTCACTAAATGAATGGTTGTAAGTCAAGGACTACCTGTATAGTGTAGTAACCAAAGTGTTGTGCTGAAGCAGCATCTAAATGAGAGGTTTGTATATCTGTGTGATTTATTGTGAAATAGAGTAACTGATAATAGTCCAATATTTGAATCCAATTCTTGGTTCAGGTTCACTCAGTAGAAGATTGGACTTGTTGAGCAGCAAATCAGCTTGATGTAGTATAAACTACTTTTTTTCAAATATCTTCACATTTTTGCAATACTGTGAGATATCTTTCAGGAAACAGAAATTCAAAGCATTCTTAGACATGTGGAATGAGTAAAGCAATATTTTGGATCTTTTGCTTCCTCACATTACAGTAATTATTGTAGAGCCACACTTTGATATTTTGCACATGTTTAAATTATACTTTGTAAAGTATAATATAATAATAATAATAATAATATAATAAAAAAGTTGGAAGGGACCTTGGAGGTCATTGAGTCCAACCCCCTGCTCAGGCAGGAACCCTACACCATTTCGGACAAATGGTTGTCCAGTCTCTTCTTAAAAACTTCCAGTGTTGGAGCATTCACTGCTTCTGGAGGCAGGTTGTTCTATTGGTTAATTGTTCTAACTGTCAGGAAGTTTTTCCTTAGTTCTAAGTTGCTTCTCTCCTTGATCAGTTTCCATCCGTTGCTTCTTGTCCTGCCTTCAGGCGCCTTGGAGAATAGCTTGACTCCCTCTTCTTTGTGGCAGCCCCTTAGATATTGGAACACTGCTATCATGTCCCCTCTCGTCCTTCTCTTTGTTAAACTAGACATACCCAATTCCAGCAATCGTTCCTTATATGTTTTAGCCTCCAGTCCCCTAATCATCTTGTTGCTCTTCTCTGTACTCTTTCTAGAGTCTCAGCATCTTTTTTACATCGTGTTGACCAAAACTGGATGCAGTATTCCAAGTGTGGTCTTACCAAGGCATTGTAAAGTGGTATTAATACTTCATGAGATCTTGATTCTATTCCTCTGTTAATGAAGACCAGCACTGTGTTGGCTTTTTTGGCAGCTGCAGCACACTGCTGGCTCATATTTAAATGATTGTCCACTAGGACTCCGAGATCCCTCTCACAGTTACTACTATTGAGCAAGGTACCCCCTATACTATCCCTGTACATTTGGTTTTTCTTGCCTAAATGTAGAACCTGACTTTTTTCACCATTGAATTTCATTTTGTTAGATAGCGCCCAGTGTTCAAGTCTATCCAGGTCCTCCTGTATCTTAAGCCTGTTTTCTGGAGGGTTGGCTATTCCTGCCAGCTTGGTGTCATCCACAAATTTGATGAGTTCCCCATCTATCCCCTCGTCCAAATCATTTTTGAAGATGTTGAAGAGCACTGGGCCTAGAACAGAGCCCTGGGGCACCCCACTACACACTTCCCTCCATGTAGATGCAGTTCCATTGAGGACCACATGCTGAGTATGACTGGTCAGCCAGCTACGAATCCATCTGGTGGCGATGCTGTCTAACCCACATTATTGAGTAGCAGGTTGTGATCTATTTTATCAAATGCCTTACTGAAGTCCAAGTAAATTATATCAACAGCATTCCTCTGATCCACTAATTTTGTCACATGGTCAAAGAATGCAATAAGGTTTGTCTGGTATGATCTGTTTTTGATAAACCCATGTTGGCTTTTAGTAATGACTTTGTTTGCCTCTAGGTGTTTGCTGATTCGTTGTTTGATTATCTTTTCCAGAATCTTCCTAGGTATTGAGGTCAGGCTGATAGGTCTGTAATTTCCTGGATCCATTTTTTCCCCTTTTTTGAAGATGGGAACTACATCAGCTCTTTTCCAGACCTCTGGTAGTTCCCCAGTGCTCCAAGATCTTTGAAAAATATAGTTCAGTGGTTCTGAGATCACATCTGCCAGTTTCTTGAGAACCTTGGGGTGTAATCCATCTGGTCCTGGTGATTTGAACTCATCTAGGCTGGACAGGTGCTCAATTACCATTTTCTTGCTTATCTTAACTTGTGTTTCTATTCTGTTTTTTATGGCACTATTTTTGATAGGTTGGTCTGTTTTTTCCCTTGTGTAAAGACAGATGCAAAAAACAAGTTAAATAGTTCTGCTTTCTCCCTGTTGCTTATCACCTTCTTGCACCTTCTTTCACCCACTAATGGACCAATCGTTTCCTTCACTTTTTTCTTGTTTTTTACATGTTGAAAGAAGCTTTTTTTTTTTTTTTTTTGTTATTTTTGACTTTGGTTGCAAGCCTTAGTTCATTTTGAGCCTTGGCTTTCCTCACTTCATCTTTGCAGGTTCGGGCTATTTGTTGATATTCTGATTTAATTATGTGCCCCTCTTTCCACTTTCTATACTTGTCCTTTTTATCTTTCAGTTTGTCAGAGAGTTCTTTATGCAGCCATGCTGGATTCTTTTGAGAGCTGTTATTTTTCCTCTTTGTTGGTATTGAGCTAGACTGGGCTTCTATTATCTCGCTTTTCAAAATTTCCCAAGCTTCTTGTGTTTTCCCCTGGAAGATTCTCATCGATGGAATCCTTTCCAAGCCCTTTCTTAGTTTATTGAAATTAGCTCTCTTGAAGTCCAAGACTCTAGTTTGACTATGTTCAATTGCTTGTGCTTCCATAATGTTGAATTCCAATATTGCATGATCACTACCTCCCAAGTTTCCAGTGGCTTCAACATCTTCTATCATTTCATCTCTGTTAGTGAGAATTAGATCCAAAATGGCTAATCCCCTAGTTCCCTTCTCTACTTTTTGGGAGACAAAGTTGTCTGTTAGGTTTGTCAGGAATCTGTTTGATCTTCCACTTGGTGCAGAGTTTGTCTCCCAGTTGATGTTTGAGATAATTCTATAAAATGTTCTGGCTCTAAATTAGGAATGCATACATAAACCTGCTGAACTGGCGTTATAAAATCTTGCTCATATGGGTATTTAATCTGAATGTTTTTGGTGTTTTTATTGTTTTAATATGTTTTTAGTATCTTTAATTATAATATATTTTTTTGAATTGTAAGCCACTCAGAGTCATTGATTGAGATGGGCAGTTGTAGAAATTGAATGAATGAATAAATGAATGAATGAATGAATGAAATGTTATAGCAGCATTAATATCTGAAAGCATCAGAGAAATATAGAATTGTCCTGTGAGCCCTGAGTATTTATGCAATAATATCAGATATATATATTTGATAATCAACAATGTTTTGGACACAGAAGATGTATAAAAAAGAATTTGAAGAAAAAGTCAGAGGGAAAGCAGCCTTGGACTTAGACAAGACTCTAGAATTTTTGCATGTGAAACACGTAACAGATCTACTAAAAGAGGTAACATTTACAAACAGAAGATAAATAGTCTTTTTATATCATAATATTGTTTAAATTCTATCATGTTTCTCTTCCTTTTTCTCTCAGTTTTTTTCTTTTGTTGTAGCAATACATAGCAGATAATTGAAAAATGAGATTGCTGAATCATTATTTAAAAATGATAGTTGCAGTTTTTGTCACATATTAAATATCAGTTCAGATATTTCCTCACATCACAATTTGTGTATGGTATACATCAGTTTGAATTTACAAACAAGCCCTATGGAAACAAATGTTTATGGTAACTTGTCAAATTTTATTGTTTATCTAGATTTAAATATATAAATTGACTCCAATTTCGATTGTGTTAACAGCTTTTATAGGGTTATGATTCTTTATTCAATTTATCTATACCTCTTTATCATAGTAAAATTCCATTAACTGTGATTTATGTGATTGACTGAATGGAATTTCTGCTTAGAATTTGAAGATGCCCAATGATAAAAGTGAAATGGTACCACTTGGTTTTACAATTAGAGAGAAAGTATAAGTTGTCTATTTCCTCTTCTGGATAAAGTGTGACAAGACTGAAATAATTAAGGCCTGCCTTTTCTGCCAAGTTTAGTATAATATCCATCTGTGTGCTCATTTCAATCACAAGAGCTCATTGTGCTACGTAACTCTGATTTATGGATAAGTGCCTTTTGTGTTGCATTTAGTGATCCTTTGTGAATAATGATAGCATTAACAGAATTTGAGTGACAGGGTCATTTACTTGTCTGTAATCCTGAAAGCCATCCAGAATAGAAGCTCTTACGATTTTATAAAATAACCATGTAATGGTACCACTGGTGTATAAGTAAAATAATGTTTTCTTTTTTCAGGAACAAGATAAAGATTATCTTATAGTATTAGTGCTTTTTTGATTTCTCAGTTCTGTTTTAACTATGATAAATATACACTCCCTAACACACATTTTATAGAACATTTCAGGTATGCCTTAAAATATTTACTATAAACTATTTTTTTCTTTTAAAGATCTTGCTCACTATTTAAAGCTGACTTTTTTTATTACCGTATATTCCGGCGTATAAGACGACTTTCTAAACACTTAAAATCTTCGCAAAAGTGGGGGGTCGTCTTATACGCCGGAAAAATATTACTCAGCAAGTTTTCTCTTCCCCCCCCCCTCTCTCTCACTCAAAAAGAGTCCTAGGGTTATTATTAAAACCAGCCGATCAACTAAAGATATCTCTGAGAGTACGATAGGCATTATCTGGCTGTTGTGACGGTAAGATTTCCTGGAGGTTTAATCCCCATTCTATAATGCTACATTGCAAACCGTCTCCTCTCTTCTTCCCTCCCTTTTGCATCCCAATTCCTTGCCCACCCCTCCAGAACTGCGGATTGGTAGTGGCCATCCCCTGATTAATTCATTCAAAGGAAGTAGAAAGGGATGGCCCATGTAATGGGGAAGGGGGGAAAAGAATTGTAGGGTGGTTTTTTTATATAATGAAAACAAACCTAAGCATCTGCGTCCATTCGAGGCACTTTTCAGTGCTTCTTCATGCAAGCTTTTCAGCGTTTACCTCTCACTGCCGGTGAGAGTAGCTTGGGGGAGGCGGAGCTTATGGGTCTGGAAGGGGAGGGGTGTCAGCTAAATTCCTCTCGGAGTTAAGAAGCAGGAATGGAGTGGGGACAGAAAACAGCTACACAATCCTTTTGCCCGAGCTTATGCAAGCAGTTTCTCCCCCCCCCTGCCTAAATAAACTTGCATGGTGCATTTGTGGTGTTATTTATGACAGATCCTGGCTGGTCAATCTGGCTCCCATCTATAAGTACTGTAGTGCACTGAGTTTTAATAACAAATTAAAAGGAAAGCATTTACTCCCCCCCCCATTACCTGAAAAGGGGGCAACTTATCACATTTATGGAAATGCAAGTTTTCGAAGGGCGAATGCCTTTCTTACTTAGCTTATTAACTGCTTCCTTTCCTTCTTCCCTAAACATTCTGGCTGTCTCCAATTTCATTCTTGGTAGTGTTGCTTTAAAAAACTGCTGAGAAGTCCTTTTGCAGGCAGGGCAATTTTCATCAAGGTGTGTGTGCGATTGACAAGGCAGAGCCTTTGAAAAACAGGCAGGCTTTCTGCTCACTCAGCTTGGAGAGGCTGTGGAGTATTCGCAGGGTGGAAGACTGAGAGGAGGAGATCCCTGTGTGCAGCCTGTTTGCTCCAAGCCAAAGCTTGCTACTGGGGGGAGGGCAATGGAAGGGACCCAGGGAGTCACACGCATGCCTACATGTGCACGCACACACCCTGAGCTACTCATTTGGACTTACAGGTGGCCAATGAGAACTCAGAAACTGTGCTCCCTTTCCCCCTCCCTCATGGAATTAGCTTGTCCATTTTTTCCCTAGGGCCTATACAGGAGTAGGCAACCTTGGCTCTTTTATGACTCATGGACTTCAACTCCCAGAATTCCTGAGCCAGCATAGCTGGCTCAGGAATTCTGGAAGTTGAAGTCCATGAGTCATAAAAGAGCCAAGGTTGCCTACCCCTGGCCTATAAGATGACAGGAAGGGTTGGGCAGGCAGGGAGAGCTGATCCACCCAATCCAAGCAGGCTTTGTATACAACAACCAGCTAAGGTTCATCGCTTGCTGTGATTGGCTGGTTGTTGTATACTGGGTACATACAGTACAGCACCAGTATCTGTACCAGTTCATACAGTACAGCACCAATACATACAGTACAGTATACAAATGTCCAATAGTCAAGACCCTATCATGGCTCCACCAGCAAGAAGAAGGAAATATGAAGCCAGTTTCAAACTTAAAGTTGTAAACTTTGCCATGGAACATAATAACTGCGCTGCTGCAAGACAATATGGAGTAACAGAAAAGATGGTTCGGGACTGGAAGGCAAATGAAAAAGCATTAAAGAGTATGCCAAGGGGTAAGTGTGCATTAAGAAGAGGCACCCCACATTGGCCAGAACTTGAAAAACATGTAGCAGACATGGTGAATGAGCATCGCCAAAACGGTTATGTAGTGACACGAAATAAAATACGTTTGTTTGCACTTCAGTGGGCCAAATCTAACCCAGATCACAGCAACAGATTTAAGGCCACTGCATCCTGGTGTACTAGATTCTTGGAAAGGCATAATATGGTACTGAGGCAAAAGACGAAAATTGCACAAAAATTACCTGCAGATCTTGATAGCAAAGTAATTAGTTTCCATCAATACATAATACAACAGCGCATTAAACATGGCTATGCATTAAGTAGTATTGGAAATATGGATGAAACTCCAATGAATTTTGATATGGTTGGAAATAAAACTGTCCATCAGAAAGGTGAAAAAACAATTTTAATTAAAACAACAGGACATGAGAAGTCCAGTTTTACAGTGGTACTAGCATGCACAGCTGATGGTGCCAAACTGAGACCAATGATTATTTTTAAAAGAAAAACAATGCCAAAACTCAAGTTCCCTGTTGGTTGTTTTGTACATGTGAATGAAAAAGGCTGGATGGATGAAGAAGGGGTAAAGCTATGGCTTGATAATGTATGGAGCAGGCGACCAGGTGGACTTATTCAAAAACGTAGTCTACTGGTGTGGGATATGTTCAGGGCTCATTTAACTCCCAGCACCAAGCAAAAGCTTGCAAGACTAAACACAGATGTGGCAGTTATTCCTGCAGGATTAACATCGTTAGTACAGCCACTGGATGTATGCCTAAACAAGCCATTTAAAGATCGCATTCGAGAACAGTGGAATGAATGGATGGTTAGTGGCGAAAAGTCATTCACAAAAGGAGGAAACATGCGTGCTCCACAATTGGATGTTTTGTGCAAGTTTGTCATAAAAGCCTGGAATGATATTGATGCAGAAACAATAATCAAGTCTTTCAAGAAGTGTGGCATATCAAATTCATTAGATGGTATGGAGGACGACTACTTGTGGCAAGATGAAGAGGAAGCCGAAGCTGAGACCACACCATCTGATACGGAATTCGATCCATACGATGACTGCCTTGCAAATGTATCACAAGATGTCATTGATATTTTTATGATATCAGATGATGAACAGGATGATTTTAAAGGCTTTTAAAGGGAAAGTATTATGCCAGCAAAACCTATAAAAATAGCTTGCAGTTATGATGGGCGTTGCTGACTCGCCAGGGACTTGCCCGGCACTTGCTCTCTCTATTGTTTGTTATCTTCCTCCTATCATCATCAGTTCCAGTTTGGTTGACAGCTTAGAAAACAAATAGCATGGCAGCTCCCATGGGTTTATTGTCTTATCCTTCCTTTCAGCTTTAGAGTGAATTAGGAAAAGTTTAATCACTTGCACTGTTTTATGTTTACATGTTTGATGACAAACAGCCTTATGTTTATAAGTGACAGTTTTCCTGCTAAGTACCTTTATGCCATAAGCATTTGAATTAAAATTACCATATTGAAATCAAATCTGATGTTTTTTAATTTTTATTTGGTGTGCGTTGAAAGAGGGGTAGTCTTATACGGCGAGTATAGCCCAAACTCTATATTTTAACTGGAAAAGTTGGGGGTCGTCTTATACGCCCAGTCGTCTTATACGCCGGAATATACGGTACTTCAGAAAGAGTATAGAAAAGATTTGGAAGAAGGGATAAAAGGAAAAGGACTGGCAGTACTTGAAGATACTCCAGATTTGATCAGAGTGAAAAATGCAACTCAGATACTAAATGAGGTAGGTACTGTTTGCAAAGCTTAGTAAATGCCATGGAAAGTTTGTCCACACAAAGTATCCAAGTGAAATAAATTCTTAATTTTGTAGTAAGTGGAAAATTTGTGTTACAGTATTTGAATATGCTTGTATCTTGTGTTTAAATAACAGAAAGAATACAGAAAAGATCTGGAACAGGAAATAAAGGGAAAAGGAGTGAAACTTATTTCAGAAACCCCTGACATCCAAAGAGCAAAGAGAGCATCTGAAATTGTTAGTGAGGTCAGTAAAAGAGGACGTCTCTTTTTAATTGTAGAAATGAAATGCATGCAACTGTTTTTCCCACATCCTAGCAATATGCTTCATTCAGATTCTATGCCACCACGAATCAATTTATTCTGTGAAGTGACTTAAGGTAAGTTGGGACTGACCCAAGGCTTGGTGCAAAGTTCTGCACTTCTGAGCACTGCAGAAAGATACATATTGTATTTCTGCTCTGTTTCTCCATAAAAAGTCAGGGTGAGAAGAAGGCAAGCAGAGGAGCTGATTTGATCAAACCATTCAAATCAAATTTTTATTTGATTTGATGCTGAAACCAGCTTCCTATATAAAACAGGAAAAGGTATCTAAAGGGAGGGGTAGGAGCATTTGATGGGTGTAGGGAACATAAATGCAAGTGGTGGGCAGACTAAATCTACCACAGTACTCTATAATAATGACTTAGATGCTCATTAAGAGCGTTTCATTATGTCACTGATCATCATTTAAAGGATTTTCAGCATTACTGTGTTGAACCTGGCGTTATAAAATCTTGCTCATATGGGTATTTAATCTGGATGTTTTTGGTGTTTTTATTGTTTTAATATGTTTTTAGTATCTTTAATTATACTAAAATATATATTTTTTGAATTGTAAGCCACCCAGAGTCATTGTCTGAGATGGGCAGTTGTAGAAATTAAATTAAATGAATGAATGAATGAATGAATGAATGAATGAATGAATGAAATGTTATAGTAGCATTAATATCTGAAAGCAGCAGGGAAATATAGAATTGTCCTGTGATCCCTGGGTATTTATGCAATAAGATGAGGTCCTGTGCAAATGTATGTGTAATAGAGGCCCCCCAAAAGTATATACTCTATCCAGAGCCACAAGGGCATTGTTTCTCCTGTATTGACCTTGAAGGACAGCTTGACGGGAGGGGCATGACATCATGCTAGAATAAAGGCGGATGGTTAGGTACTTTAAGATTACTTAGTTATGTCATAGGAGAGGCAACATGTCTGTTGGAGTCACTAGCAATAACATTTAGAGGCCTGGCTAGATCAATGTGTCTGCAACACATTGCTTAATGGGTGTTTTGGCCCATCATATCCTTTGCTGAGTAGAAGATCTGGAGAGAAGCCCAAGGATTATATTTTAATTGCTACTGCCTTTTTCCATGCAATCTGAAAATCATTCCTCTCATGGTTAGTGGGACAAGGCCAAGAAGAGAAAGGGAATGTCTGAGACAATAGTTGAATAACAGTTACCCACATTTTAGCCTCCACTTTAATAAGGTCTGTCCCTAGGCAATCACGGCGTTGGCGGACGTGTAGGGCAATCGCTTTCTCCACCGTCCGGTTTTCTCCCATCGGGGACCTTGAAGAGGTCAGAAGTCGCCCTGTAGGGACAACGAGTGAGAAGAGGACCCCTGAGTGATCACGGAAGGGCAGCAGCCCTCCTGTTTGATCCAGGGCAGCTCTTCAAACTGATAGGGAAAAGATCGGATATCAACATGACCTCATCACTAAGCTGCTGACAGCCGAGGCTAAATTTACCAACAAGCACTTTGAAAGCAAAGTGGAGGAATTGGGTGAGACCTGCTCTGTACCCCAAGTACTTTCCTATAAAAAGCTTCTTGAAATGTCTTCCCCCTGTGAGGAGAGAGGGAAGGAAACCTTTTCCTCCCACCCTCTAAAATGGTGGCATCTGACTTTCCGGGGGAAACAAAGCATTGAACAGAACAACTTAATATAATTGGATTTACATCTTTTTGGAATTTGGTGAACCAAAAAGCTCCTACTCTATTGTGACCATTTGCAAAAAAGAATTTAAATTGGATAAGAACCTAGCCTGGGATCTGAAAAAGACTTTAAATGCTATCAGGGACATCTTGTGGCGAAGCTTGGTACAACAATTATTTCTGACAAAGAGACTTGCTCAAAGCCCAGACCTGAGCTTGGTATTATCTAGATTTAATGCTGAAAGAGCAGCTGGGCAGTGAAATTGGTCTCTAGGAAATGTGGAGGTGAACATTTACTGACTCTTGTTTAATAAACGGTCTTCACTAGAAAGACCATCTACAACAGACATGTCAAACTTGTGACATCACGTGATGTTGCGCAACGTATTGGAGCTTTTTTGCCATTGCCGGCAGTGGAGTGGGTGCGGTCTGATATGATGAAACCAGCCCCTGGGCCGGCAGTTTGACACCCCGATCTACAACTACACCAGAAATGGAGGAGGGTCAGCAAAAAATCTTGGCTATGCTAAAATCTATACTTGAAACTATTCTTACAGCCAATGAGACAATGAGATCTAATCTGAAAGACCAAGGTGCCAGTCCAGATGTACAAAGCAAAACCTTGATTGCAATTAAAGAACCAACAATCCAAAAAACAACAGAAGTGGAAGAAGTGAATACCAAGACAGAGGGCTGTAAAGATCAACAAGTATAGTTCACTGAAAATCCAGACAATGAAACAACAACTTTAAAAATGGAAATGACTTTCTATACAAACCTGAAGAAATCTGAGAAAGAAGAAGACCAGATCAAATTGAACACAACTATACCAGAGCAAATATGAGGATCTGGGCCACCAGGACGACAACTTAATGATTATAAATGGGCCAGTTCTTCTAGAAAATTGGCAATTAGATGGTCTCCTTTAATTCAAGTAACATACACAAGAATGTAGGGAGATCAATTTGATGATTTAAAAGCATTGGTATGGAAGCCTAATACACAGCATTGATTGACACCTTTTTCAGTTTCAATGGCACTGGTGAGATGAGCCTGGGTGTTGCACATTGAATGTGATCTCTTCATGAAGCACATATATTAGGAGAAGTAAACATTACTGAATCTGACTTTCAGTTTTGTGCGGTAGTGACCGGTTGTGGGCTTGCAGATTCTCTGCACCCCCACAGCTAATTTTGCCCTGCCTGGGGACCCTAAATGAGTCTAAGTCACCCTGGAGAGGCGACGAAGAAAGAAGGGTGCTCCAGCAATTCTGGAATGGCTGCAGCCATTCCATTCGACTTGGGGAGAGCCTTCTATCCCTACAGAAGAAAGGCTGGCCATATTGCATCGACCAGCCCAAACTACTAGCAACTGAAGTCCAAAAGCACTAACAAGCACAACTGTGAACAGCATGTTTGAAACTGGGTGAGGAATTCAATCTTATCTTCTCTATTCTATATTTAATTTCCTGGAAAAGTTCCCCAAGAAGCAAAATACTTCCAAAAGGAAAGGAGTGGGATTTCTGCCCCACCCTTATACTATCGGAAGCGGCAAATTAATCTTTTTATGGAGGCTCAAAATATATGGAAGTGAAAAACAAATAATTGCTGACACCTAGTGGTGGATGAAGACTATGACAGCTATGGATTTTAATATAAGACTTGGCAAAACCTGGGAAAAGCTAATCTGTGTTTGTGATCTTCAAAGTTTTAACAACAAAGAACGGCTGTGACAAAAAAAGACAATAATCTGGGCTGTAGACAAAGAGAGAATTATAAATTTCAGAAAAAAAAATCTTTTTTGAACTATTTGAATTACAAATATCTATTTAATTGGGATTCTAAAGCTATTTGTAGAGAAAAGAAAGGAAGAGAAAGACTCAAATTTTTGGCCATCATGGATCAGAGACTGTAGAAAGAAAATATCAAGAAAACATAAATATTTCACAGGAGGAGATATATATTTCAAACAACAATGACTTTAAACTACAAAGAAATCCAAAATAACTTTGAAAATATAAATCAATCTATTTCTAAATTAACTCTACAACAAAAAAACCCCCAGAAAACCACAAGAGAGAAGAAGCAGATAAAACAGATAAATGGATATAGAATTGAGAATAGAGACTTAAAGATGGAACTTAACAAAACAAGGAAACATGATTTAATACTAGTGGAAAAAAATTCACAAGAATTGGAAAGAAACAACATCCCTTAAGACAGGGTAGGCAACCTTGGCTCTTTTATGACTCGTGGACTTCGGCTCCCAGAATTCCTGAGCCAGCATTCTGAGGGGAAAGGGAGAGTTTTCCAAGCTGAGCCATGCTGGCTCAGGAATTCTGAGAGCTGAAATCCACGAGTCATAAAAGAGCCAAGGTTGCCTATCCTTGCCTTAAGACTACAAAATAAATCTGAGGACAAGAAAACAGATTGGATAAAATGGACTGTAGAGATGTCAGGAACATCAGAGAGAAAGGAAATGATAAGAGAAGTGGAGAGAAAGAAAAAGATTTTCAACAAACGTGAAAAGACAGAAGTCTCATACAAAGACACTTCACCTGATTTACCGTATATTCCGGTGTATAAGACGACTTTCTAAACACTTAAAATCTTCGTAAAAGTCGGGGGTCATCTTATACGCTGGAAAAATATTACTCAACAAGTTTTCTCTCCCCCCCCCCCTCACTCAAAAAGAGTCCTAGGGTTATTATTAAAACCAGCCGATCAACTAAAGATATCTCTTTCCAGCCTCTATACTGGGAGTACGATAGGCATTATCTGGCTGTCGTGACAGTAAGTTTTCCTAGCGGTTTAATCCCCATTCTATAATGCTAACCGTCTCCTCTCTTCTTCTCTCCCTTTTGCATTCCAATTCCTTGCTCACCCCTCCAGGACTGCGGATTGGTAGTGGCCATCCCCTGATTAATTCATTCAAAGGAAGTAGAAAGGGATGGCCCATGTAATGGGGAAGGGGGGGAAAGAGTTGTAGGGTGGTTTTTTTTTATATAATGAAAACAAACCTAAGCATCTGCGTCCATTTGAGGCACTTCTCAGTGCTTCTTCATGTAGGCTTTTCAGCGTTTATCTCTCACTGCCAGTGAGAGTAGCTTGGGGGAGGCGGAGCTTATGGGTCTGGAAGGGGAGGGGTGTCAGCTAAATTCCTCTCGGATTTACGAAGCAGGAATGGAGTGGGGACAGAAAACAGCTACACAATCCTTTCGCCTGTCGACTTCCACCGAGTTTATACAAGCAGTTCCCCTCCCCCCGCCTAAATAAACTTGCATGGTGCATTTGTGGTGTTATTTATGGCAGATCCTGGCTGGTCAATCTGGCTCCCATCTATAAGTACTGTAGTGCACTGAGTTTTAATAACAAATTAAAAGGAAAGCATTTACTCCCCCCCCATTACCTGAAAAGGGGGCAACTTATCACATTTGTGGAAATGCAAGTTTTCGAACGGCGAATGCCTTTCTTACTTGGTTTATTAACTGCTTCCTTCCCTAAACATTCTGAGCATAGCTGGCTCAGGAATTCTGGAAGTTGAAGTCCATGAGTCATAAAAGAGCCAAGGTTGCCTACCCCTGGCCTATAAGATGACAGGAAGGGTTGGGCAGGCAGGGAGAGCTGACCCACCCAATCCAAGCAGGCTTTGTATACAACAACCAGCCAAGGTTCATCGCTTGCTGTGATTGGCTGGTTGTTGTATACTGGGTACATACAGTACAGCACCAGTATCTGTACCAGTTCATACAGTACAGCACCAATACATACAGTACAGTATACAAATGTCCAATAGTCAAGACCCCATCATGGCTCCACCAGCCAGAAGAAAGAAATATGAAGCCAGTTTCAAACTTAAAGTTGTAAACTTTGCCATGGAACATAATAACTGCGCTGCTGCAAGACAATATGGAGTAACAGAAAAGATGGTTCGGGACTGGAAAGCAAATGAAAAAGCATTAAAGAGTATGCCAAGGGGTAAGTGTGCATTAAGAAGAGGCACCCCACATTGGCCAGAACTCGAAAAACATGTAGCAGACATGGTGAATGAGCATCACCAAAACGGTTATGTAGTGACAAGAAATAAAATACGTTTGTTTGCACTTCAGTGGGCCAAATCTAACCCAGATCACAGCAACAGATTTAAGGCCACTTCATCCTGGTGTACTAGATTCTTGGAAAGGCATAATATGGTACTGAGGCAAAAGACGAAAATTGCACAAAAATTACCTGCAGATCTTGATAGCAAAGTAATTAGTTTCCATCAATACGTAATATAACAGCGCATTAAACATGGCTATGCATTAAGTAGTATTGGAAATATGGATGAAACTCCAATGAATTTTGATATGGTTGGAAATAAAACTGTCCATCAAAAAGGTGAAAAAACAATTTTAATTAAAACAACAGGACATGAGAAATCCAGTTTTACAGTGGTACTAGGATGCACAGCTGATGGTGCCAAACTGAGACCAATGATTATTTTTAAAAGAAAAACAATGCCGAAACTCAAGTTCCCTGTTGGTTGTTTTGTACATGTGAATGAAAAAGGCTGGCTGGATGAAGAAGGGGTAGAGCTATGGCTTGATAATGTATGGAGCAGGCGACCAGGTGGACTTATTCAAAAACGTAGTCTACTGGTGTGGGATATGTTCAGGGCTCATTTAACTCCCAGCACCAAGCAAAAGCTTGCAAGACTAAACACAGATGCGGCAGTTATTCCTGCAGGATTAACATCGTTAGTACAGCCACTGGATGTGTGCCTAAACAAGCCATTTAAAGATCGCATTCGAGAACAGTGGAATGAATGGATGGTTAGTGGCGAAAAGTCATTCACAAAAGGAGGAAACATGCGTGCTCCACAGTTGGATGTTTTGTGCAAGTTTGTCATAAAAGCCTGGAATGATATTGATGCAGAAACAATAATCAAGTCTTTCAAGAAGTGTGGCATATCAAATTCATTAGATGGTATGGAGGACGACTACTTGTGGCAAGATGAAGAGGAAGCCGAAGCTGAGACCACACCATCTCATACGGAATTTGATCCATACGATGACTGCCTTGCAAATGTATCACAAGATGTCATTGATATTTTTATGATATCAGATGATGAACAGGATGATTTTAAAGGCTTTTAAAGGGAAAGTATCATGCCAGCAAAACCTATAAAAATAGCTTGCAGTTATGATGGGCGTTGCTGACTCGCCAGGGACTTGCCCGGCACTTGCTCTCTCTATTGTTTGTTATCTTCCTCCTATCATCATCAGTTCCAGTTTGGTTGACAGCTTAGAAAACAAATAGCATGGCAGCTCCAATGGGTTTATTGTCTTATCCTTCCTTTCAGCTTTAGAGTGAATTAGGAAAAGTTTAATCACTTGCACTGTTTTATGTTTACATGTTTGATGACAAACAGCCTTATGTTTATAAGTGACAGTTTTCCTGCTAAGTACCTGTATGTCATAAGCATTTGAATTAAAATTATCATATTGAAATCAAATCTGATGTTTTTTAATTTTTATTTGGTGTGCGTTGGAAGGGGGGTAGTCTTATACAGCGAGTATAGCCCAAACTCTATATTTTAACTGGAAAAGTTGGGGGTCGTCTTATACGCCGGAATATACGGTACTTTTTATATCTACAGCAACATTTACGAAAACATGTAAAAACTTTTTGATTCAGCAAAATACATTGATTAAGAAAGATACTGGGCAAAGAAAAAAGACTAAAGTGGAAATCAAGAAAATAAATGATGGGACTTACCAGAGAGAATACTTAAAAAAGAAACATTTGCTTGAATATGGTTAAAGAAACAGAAAAGTTTTGGAATATATATGTCATTCTAAGAGTGATGAATTCCCTAAATAATATAGTATGCTTTTTCCCCGTTTTTGTTCTCTTTCTTGATATGAGTAATATAAACAAGTTGAAATGACTTAGATAAAGGAAATGTTTTAGATACTTAAATGTGATTGAATTTAAGAAAATTATAATGGATAAAAATGTTTTCAATAAGAGTTAAAGGACTAGATGACTAGATGTATTAAATGGAATGTTTAAAGATTAAACATATTTCTAATTATGATTAAAAAGAATAAGAAATTTAGGAAACAAATATATATTAGCTTAGGAGGGATATATATTTTAAGTAGAATATTATTTTTTATGTTTCTTTACTCTTGCTCTCCTTTCTTTTTTTTCATTGTTCTATCTTTTCCTTAAGAAATGTAAAAGTGTGAGATGGTTCATATGGAAAAATAGAGTCAAATTTTTAAATGTAATTAATTTTTGAGAAAATCTTAACCAGTGAGAATACTTAGAACCTGGTGGGAAAAACAAATTAAAATAAGAACTGTAACAAGATCTATGATAACGCAACCAGAATGATTGGATAGAAAAGAAATATTATATTGATATGACTATTATTTTCAGGAATATTGGGAAAAATATATATTTAATTGTTATCCATCAAAACAATAAGAATTGTATTAACTCAATGTTTGCAAAAGAGGATATTTTGGGAAAAGAGGAAATCAATTAAAACCATTATGTGGATTATGGATTATAGAAATCAATTGTTAATGATTGTTTTACCAATGTAACCCAGACAACACACTGTTCACCAATTATTGTGTATGTTTGAAGGGATTTTATGTTGTGGGAAGAGTATCAATGGTGGCTCAGCCTTTCTTAAATCTGGCTTGTTCTTCTATAAGTATTTTTCTTGTACTGACCAGTCCTGAAATTTCCATTGTAGATATTGCGTACAGTTTGCTAATTGTGCTGAAAAGGATGATCAATCTAAAATTAGTAGGGTTAGAGCCATCCTTTTTCTCCTTTTTATATATAGGAATAATGATTGAACTTGGGAATTCAGCAGTAGGTGTAAAAAGGGAAGCCAGAATGAAGCCCAGAAGCCTAAGTTGTTTTTAAAAGATCTCTGGAGGGATTAGAATTTCCTGGTTTTAATTAAGCAACAAGATTCTTAATTATGTTATTGTCACAAGTGCCCTCGTTGGCAGATTTTCTATACTTTTGGTAAGGCATCCACTTCCAATAGACGTGCCTATGTAGAGTTCCTGAAAGTATATCTCCCAGGTACATGAGGGGATATAACAGTCTATCATGAGTGAGCTATTGCTGTGGGAGCTTGATGTGATGTACCAGAAAAGGGGTGTTTTTCCTTTAGATAAATGAATTATAATTTTGACCATGTGTCTTTTAAGAGAAATGCATTCTCATATTACCTGGTTGTCAAAGTGGATTTGCTTTCATCATTGCCTGGGGGTTGGTAAATGCCTAGGGAGGAGGGAGGGATAAGGAATGATGAGAGCCTTCTATCGCTGGAGAGGCGATATCCACCAAGGCCAAGTTCTCGGAGCTACTAGCCAGTGCAGACTATTTTCCCAAAACAAAAGTACTGAGTCTAATTGGTAGACAAAAAATGTGGGTGGCCCAGGGGTCAAAAGGCATTTTAACTATGTGGGTTTTCGCGGGAAAATTTCAGAGTCGAATTTGCTTCTGCTGTGCCTAAATGGATCTGTCAATAAAGTTTTACTCTTGGTAATTCATACGTGCCAGTAGTTTCTTTTTTTGGGGGGGGGGAAGATGTGCCAAATGGGATGGTTGACACTAGTGTGTGTTGTAAGGAGGTACCTGCAGTAAGAACAGATATGTATATGAGAATATTATTTCATGCATTCATCTTGTATTAATTATTTATATTTAAACAAGTAAATAATACTTGAGGTAATATAAAGTCTCATTCAAAGTAATGAAGCATTCCTTATTTGTTTAAAAATATTGGTAGACAAATATACCAAAATTGAGTATCTTATTAGAAATTAATAGTATTACAATCCAAAGTTACAAGCATGTGTTTGTGTGTGTGTGTATGAGGGGGGGGGAAATCACACAATAACTTTTTAAATAGACAATTCTCAAACATGTTTATTGTAGACTCATGTACATTTTACAATTTTGAAACAGCCTATTTCAGAGAATAAACCCTCAATTCTGCTTGTACAAGTCATAAGACTACACAATATACTGTATGTATACTTTATACTCCCATCCCTAAACTGATGCTTGTGAGTTTATAGTATATATTCTTATATTCACAGAAAGAATATAGAAAAGATCTGGAAACCAAAATTAAAGGAAAAGGAATGCAAGTTGGCACTGATACTCTTGAAATACAGCGAGCAAAGAGAGCATCTGAAATTGCAAGCCAGGTTTGCTTAAGATATTTTCAAAGCATAATTCTATACATTATAACTTAGCATATGATATTACTACATTATGTTGCTATTAGTTAACTAATTGGGGAGCCTTTCATACAGTCATTCAGGCCCTGGCCAACTCATAGCTTGACTACATGGGGCTGTGCTTGAAGACTGTCCAGAAGCCTCAGCTGGTCCAGAATACAGCAATGCAGGAAATGATGGGCCTGCTTCATTATGCCTTGTTATGACCATGTAACAACTCAGCTAGTAAGCTATACTGGTTGCTAGTTTGCTTTCGAATGCAATTCAGGGTGCTAGTTACCTGGCAAATTTAATAAATTATTGTTATTGTAATTATTATTACTATTTAATCATAATAATATGAAATCACAGCTGCTAGTTCTTTATCTAGTGTTCGCCTTCATATACTTCAAGAACTAGGATGGCAAATCAAGTCCAAGATGGAATAGAATAGTAAAAGTAAAAAATGAACCTATGCACCTATGATTTGTAAAAATAGAAAATCAATAAAATTATATATATATAAAATGTTACAGTCCATTTGTTCTGAATGTATAAAACATTTTGATCTTCTAGCGTATCACTTAACAAAAGCACCATAGATTAAGAAAAGTTCTGAATAAAAGCTGAAGCTGCTATAAATCTGATTATTTCCTTTTCTGCTCTTTATAGAAAGAATACAAAAAACATCTAGAAATGGAAATTAAAGGAAAGGGAATGCAAGTGGGCATGGATACTCCTGATATACAACGAGCAAAGAAAGCTTATGAACTCGCAAGCCAGGTTAGTCCAGAACAGAGGTTTCAGTGGCATCCATAATAAAGTATAATAGTCCTTTAAAATGTGTTTTGGTAAAATTCTTCTTTTTTTTTTTGAGAATAGAAAACATACAAAAATAATAAAATTAAATCCCATGGAAGTGTAGCCAGACATCAGAAATCTAGTTTGTGTAACAATAAAATATTTGAAATCCCATACAAGTTTGGATACAAATAATTAAAGGTTGCATATATTTCAGAATTCTTTACTGTGCTATGACTTGCAGAAAGAATATATGAAAGACTTGGAGACTGAAATCACAGGGAAAGGAATGCTAATAGGCCCAGATATTCCAGACATACAGCGAGCAAGGAAGGCATCTGAAATAGCTAGTCAAGTGAGTAAAGAATGAGCAATAATTAAGAAACATTCATAGAACAGGGATATTTTCCTGGGTGTAATGGTGCCTATTCTGATAGCAGTCTTATTTTTAAGAACTGCAACTTCGTTTTGGAACTTGGGGTAACTGAACCATCTGGAATTAATTATTTAGATTTTAATGCCCAGTTTACAATGGCCCAGTTTATTTAAAACTGACAGCGGGAATGAACTTTTTAATGGTAATCAAATTTATGTAAATAAATTTAATCCAATTTCAACTGCCAATTAATGTTGGTATATTAAGTGTGTATATAAATGATGGGATATTTTTTCAGAAGAAGTATAAAGATGAAGCAGTGAAGATGCTATGTACTTATTCTGCAGTGCCAAATACTCCTGAAATTGAGAGGATTAAAAATGCACAAAGAAATATCAGTGATGTAAGTAGTAGTAATTATAATAGACATATTTCGCAATATGTAGTATTGAATTAACTCTCTTGTATTTCAGAAAATGGTAAAAATGTGCATATTATTTCCAAATGCATTGTATAAACTTTCTGGTACAGAGTGTATCTTAGGAATTAATATTTTGATCTGGGAACTAGTTTTATACTGTTTCCATGAAAAAAAATTGGATGTGTCTATATGTGACAAAAATATATTTAATTCAGGTAGATCTTACCTTTATCTTAAACTTTTCATCTACATAACTGCAAATAACTTAGATTCAGTAAACATAATTCACAATCAAGATGTAAATGCAAATCAATATTTCTCTCTCTCTCTCCCTCCCTCTCTCTCTCTCTCTCTCTCTCCTGCATCCCTCTCTCAGACCTGTTTTCTATTATTCAGCTGCATTTTTGTATCTGGAAAGCCTGTATGTACCGATATACTTCTAAACATATTCACTATAGTTGATTTTCAATATTTAAAGTAGAGTTGGTAGGATTTTGCCCAAGCAGACTAAGTGTATTAAGGTCCGACAACTTTTTAATAGGAGGTCTGCTTTAAAATCATTTAAATTTGACCAGAGAGGCAAGAACTAAAGAATGCATGAATGACATATCATAGTATTTATTTATTTAAAAACTTAATAAGGAAGGAAATAGTATTTTTAGTTACTAATTAATTCTTTTTAGTACTTTTAGTTACTAATAATTAAATCCAGTACATTTTTGCTTCATCAATGATTTGGATGAGGGGATAGATGGGGAACTCATCAGATATGCATACGATACCAAACTGACAGGAATAGCCAACACTCCAGAACAGGGGTCCCCAAGCTGCGGAAATGGCTGGCCAGTGCACATGTGCGCACACACTGCCTGCCACTCTCACTAATGCCTGCGGCCCCATTTGCACATGTGCGCGGGTGCAAACGGGGCCACTAGTGCTGGATGGGTGTGCACAGCCCATCTGTGCATGTGCAAATAAGGCCGCTAGTGCCACACCAATGCGCGCAGTACAGTTTTCATGCATCCGTGCATGTGCTCCAATTTGGAACCTGCTCTCCTTCCCTTTGGGCCACGAGCCCAGAAAGTTTGGAGACTTCTGCTCCAGAAGATAGGCTTAAGATACAGAAGGATTTTCAGATTTGAACATTGGGCGCTATCTAAAACAATGAAATTCAGTGGTGAAAAAAGTAAGGTCTTACATTTAGGCAAGAAAAAACAAATGCATAGGTATGGTGTAGGTGGTACTTGGCTTAATAGTAGTAACTGTTAGAAGGACCTAGTTAATATCAGCCAGCAATGTGCTGTCACTGCCAAAAAAGCCAACACAGTTCCAGGCTACATTAACAGAGTTCACGTGAAGTGTTAGTAACTCCTTTATAATGACTTGGTAAGACTACACCTGGAATACTACATCTAGTTTTGATCGCTATAATGTAAAAAAGATGTTGAGACTCTAGAATGCAGAGTAGAGCAACAAAGATGATTAGGGACTGGAGGCTAAAACACATAAAGAATGGTTGCTGGAATTGGGTATGATTAGTTTAATGAAAAGAGTACAGGTGACATGATAGCAGTGTTTCAATATCTAAGGGGCTGCCACAAAGAAGAGGGAGTCAACTTATTTTCCAAAGTACCTGAAGGCAGGACAAGAAGCAATGGATGGAAATAAATCAAGCAGAGAAACAACCTAGAACTAAGGACAAATTTCTTTACAGTTAGAACAATTAATCAGTGGAACAACCTGCCTCCAGAAGTTGTGGATGCTCCAACACTAGAAGTTTTTAAAAAGAGATTGGACAACCATTTGTCTGAAATGGTATAGGGTTGCCTGCCTGAGCAGGGGGATGGACTAGAAGACCTCTAAGTTTCCTTCGAACTCTGTAATTCTGTCATTTTGATTTAAGGTTCTGTATCCAAATTTGTCAGGTAGCTTAAATATTATAAGCTACTATAAACTCAAAAGTTTATAGTACCACTGAGCGAATGGAGTTAGTTACAGTTTCACGAATCAAATGAGGACTGTAAAAACTACTAGACTGAAATGAATCATAAGAATTTTATGAGATTTTCAATTACTTATTTAATAAATTATTTAGTATTTCTCCTACTAGTATTTTCTATAACCTAAAGTGAGAAACATTTTATTCAATAGGATATAATTACTACCTGGTTGCTTTCCTGACTCAAGCAAAGAGAGATTGCTGGAGTTCACTTGAAACAGGCAGAATTAACTCAACGGACGAATCATACAAAATTAGTTTTATTCCAGGCATCCTCAAGACATTAACTCACAGTTATTGTAGAAGTTCCTCTGAAACGTAGATTGTAATCTAGACCCACTGCGTAGGTAAAAGGATAATAGATTTCCCCATTCTAATGGAGCTCCTAACCTCATGGCTAGGATTCATGGAGACAAATAGACTGGCACGTAAACAGGATATCCCATAATAAAACACAAGACCCTGCCAGTGGCCAATTAGAACACAGATATAACCAGGTAACAACTAAAACTACATTTCCCAGAAGGCCATTCTTAAGGGGACAGCATTTTAACCCTTAAAATGCTACTTGCTCTACACACAATTCTTAATTCTCAAGCTAGCTATATATTCTGGCCAGATGGCTATATACTGGATCAGCACAATTGCTGATTAGGAGCCCCATATGCATTTTTTCCTCTCTGTGCCTTCTACCACATACTCCACATTATCACATTATACAAAGTGTCTTTATGTTCACCATGATGGCATCACTCATCAGAGAGATTATACAATGATGGGTATATGCAACATATAACACAAAGCAATGACAGCAATAGCATAATCTGTGCCATTTTGCAACAACAAAGTGAAATCTAAAATACTTTAAAGTTTCTTTGAAGTGCTCTGATTGCATCTGGATGAAGATGAAGAAATGTTTCAGGAAATGTAAGACAGTTATTCTGTTTGCTCAAGACTGATATAAATAAAGACTTTTACAGTTTCTTATCTAAGGGCAGATAATGAGATATGGTGCCTACCTACTAAATTCAATATTGAATTCAGGTTCATTGCAAATTTATCTATCTGTGGGAACATTAGAAGCCAAATCTCAATGAATGATTAGTTTTAGTCTTCAGCTTGGATGGTTCTTCCAGTCATTTCCTGGCTCTGTTTTAAAAAGAGTTGTATTGGACTCACATGTACCCTATGAAGTAAGCATTTTAATTAGTGCTGTACCCTAAGGAATGTTCTTTTAATGCAAGATTTTATCTACTATGAATTCCAGTGGATAAGAGTTGAAAAACAAAAATTTTAAATAATAGAATAGTTCCTTCCCCGCTCATCCAAAAGTTTCTTAGAAATGTTGTATTTATTTTATTTTATTTGTTTAATGAAGGTACTATACAAGAAAAGATTAGGTGCTGGCATAACAGTAGCAGAGACCCCTGTGATTGAACATGTAAAGAAAAATCAGAAAAATATTAGCACAGTAAGTTTAACTGGACTTATACATTGTGCTTTATATAAATAGTAAAAATTGTAGTAGTGATGTTATTATTGTTCTATGCTGTGAAATAAAATAGTGTAATAGAATCAGATATTCAAAATACAGGTATTTTGGTATACCCATATTTGAAATCCTGTAATCTTGCAGATAAATCTTTCTTCTCAACACTGTTATTCTGAAACTACTTTTCTAAATGTTCTAAAATCCTTATAAGCAGTGCTTTTTTTGTAAAAAAAAAAAAAAAAAAAAGGTGCCGGAACTCACACATGTCATACAATCCACCTTGCCTACCCTACAAGGTTCCATCCAAAAAAGATGCCGGAACTCCGTTCTGGGCATTCTATGACAAAAAAAAGCCCTGCTTATAAGTATGAGCAGCACTACTTTCTTATAATTGCTTTTATTACCTTCCTCCTGATTTTGAAGAACTTTTGATCATTTTGCAACTTCTAATAATGTTCTGATTTTTACATGTTAGCCTTTGTCATGAATGCTGAAATTATTCAATCATTATGCACTCACCATATTCTAAATACTTTAGAAAGAAATTATTTTTGTATATATATATTTTTCTAGGAACTTTTACTTTGAATAGTGTAAACTCCCACTGAGTTGGAGTTACTTGAAGTTTCATTACAATGCTTTCGCCTTTAAGTAAATTAGATTTATGTTAGCAATATTTATGTATATTCATATTTTCATTCCCTCCCAAAGAGTGAACCAGAGAGAAAGCAATCTTTTTATCCTTTTATATGCAGTATTAATAATGTTGAAACAAACCGGTAAAGGGGAATTTAACTATCAAATGTTGTTTAATGCAATGCACTACTTAATATGGTTCAATCACAGGTTGTATGTGTTTAATTATTAATTATCAGGTTTGCTATAAAGAGCAGCTTGGTAAAGGTATTTCAGTGAGTGTCACTCCTGAAATGGAAAGAGTGAAGAAGAATCAAGAAATTATCAGCTCGGCAAGTCCTTTATCTCTTTTTTTCTTTTAGTTGTTTTGCATTAATAAATTTATGTTTTTGGTCAAGAATGGATCTTCCTCTTTGAAATTTTAAAATGACTATAGAAAGGTGTGCTCATTCATATGGCCTAATGACTGTCATTAATTAGGTGGAAATAAGTGTGCATTTTTTTGAAGCTCTGTATCATTTTTGTGTAATACTACCATTAGTTCTTTGAAGTTTAAATAATCTTTCTTTGTTACATCCATTAGCCATTCAAATATTATAAACTGTAACTTATTGGGTCACTGATATTCAAGTTTGAATGGACATATTATTGCAGTACTGCTGATGATAATAACAATATTGTTAGTATTTTCAAAGGTTAACTGTGGTCAAATATTTCTGTGTAATGATGATGATGTATTTTACAGGTCAAGTACAGCAGAGATCATCAGCAAATGAAAGGTAGACCTAGCGTGATTCTAGACACACCCGAGTTAAGGCATGTCAAAGAAACACAAAACATCATCTCAATGGTAGGGTAGATTTTTCACATAGGTAGTATGTTCTAAGGAGCAATATTGTGTTGTACACTGAATTAACAGACAAGACTTTGCACACACAACTGAAGTGAGAATTGATTTCTTCTTATAGCATGGTTGATGGAGTGGAGTTGCTAACAATGTAATTTCCCCCTGCAATACTAATTAACCAATTTATCTAATAATTCACTGAGTGGCTTTTTAAACACATGCCACATGGTGCTTTTCTTTTCACATGCCAAAACTTAATAGGAGAGGATGACACACACTGCCTTGTGCCTGTGCATGTTAGAGTTTCATGTGTGCAAGTGAATTCTGAATGTGGTTGTTGAGATCATTTTGCAAAGTTATGTATATGGATTGTGCAGGATACATTATGATTTTGGAGAAGGGTTAAAAAGGTAGAGGGGGTCTCCTTATTTGTGGGTTCTATTCCAGTATATAAAACCAGTAAATACAAAGTCATAAGAAATAAGGTCTTCACTCTACAGGAATTGGGGATTGGGTTTCGGAGACTATGATCATTCTCTTTTCCTTTTACAAGCTTTATCACTTTTCCTCCCCTATTATTCTATGACAATGCACCTACATGTGCTCCTCTTTTTGCTCACTTGGTTGTGGCAAATCTTGTTGGATCACTACTGTTGTAAAATTTCACACTGACTGGTCTGTGTTAGCATCCTACAATATTGTGAAGGAGACAGATTTTGCTGGTGCAAAGAAGCCATATGAATACTTGTGACTGTACTGCCTATGTACTGTAGGATCCAGGAAGAACAAACATAGGAATGCTGAATAGATCATCTAACTCTTATAAATATTTTTTATGTACAAAAACTTTTTTGTCATGTTTTTCCATCTGCAAAGTAATAAAAAATAAGGTCCAAATTGCAATATGCTGAAACTTTTTCCATCAGTTTTATCAAAAACTGATCTCAATGGTTCAGTCATAGATATGCATAACTGCAGATATCAGTATAGAGACTTTGCAATAACTGGGTTAGCTTTAGTAAATTTGTGGATTAATATAACACACTATTTGAAATTAAGCCAGTTTAATATCAACACTTGCATAAGAATGTAATTGGTTGTGACTAATTATGCAATTACTTAAAATATTCTTAAAGATCATCACGGAAACTGACATATGCTATAGACATAAAGGCATATACTGGCAATGAAAAATTGCATGTTGATGATTAAGCATTTATGCAATAGACACACAAAATGGGATATTATCTTTGCCTGATGGAATAATATCTGCCAGGTGAATCAGTTATCCCTTACTTTTGTACTCTCTGTAGCCTCCATTAGTGACCTGCTGGAGCCAATTTGAGGAAAATTCAGGGAAGAAAAACAAAAGAACATACTTCTGCGTGATAGTAATTCTGTGTATTGTTGAATACAAGCCAATGCCAATGCCCAATAATTTTTTACTGTTCTTAATACTTGAATCTCAGAAAAATATACATATTTTTCTCCAGGTCAAATATCATGAAGATTTTGAGAAGACAAAAGGCAGAGGATTCACTCCAGTAGTGGATGACCCTGTAACTGAACGGGTGAGAAGGAATACCCAAGTAGTTAGTGATGCTGCATACAAAGGTGTTCACCCACATATAGTTGAAATGGACAGGAGACCTGGAATAATTGTAGGTAAGTCAATTCTGTAAATTTACTGAATCAGAAACACTTGTGTCGCCATCTCAGATTATATACATATACATGCACATGCACATGTGTGTATACACACACACACACACACACACACACACACACATATATCTTGAGTGTTTTTTTGATGCACCCTGTCGGCCCAAAAATGATCTCAACAACCACATTCAGAATTCACTTGCACACATGAACACAGCCCAAGTTCGAATCTCAGAAGGGTATGTCTGGCTATATATATATAGTGATCAGATATGACAGAATGTAGTTTGAAGTGGAAGGACTACATTCTAGAAGAGCAAAAAATAGTGAAGTTTAGGCAGATTGAGTGGGAGGAAAATTGCCAAAACAGCCCCTCCTTAGGAGTTATATGAGTCTATGTTTAATGGTGTAAGTAGTTTGCTTTAGCTTGCAAAGGTTTCTATCTATGGATGAGGAACAATAAAAGGAAATTACTTAGAAGAATCTTTATGTCTGTTTTGATTTTTTGAGCCTGACATTAGATAATTATTAGTATAACTGAAACTCTAATGACATTTGAAGTTATGCACTTTTGTGTCATATCAAATTTCTTTATCATATTAGAATGCTAGGTCATTTAGGATTATCAGACAATAATTGTTTCCCAGCAAAAATGCTAATTGCAGTGCCCTCTAAAGTAATGAGAATATTATTTAACCCAATAATTAAATAAATTTTAATCTATCATTAAATTACTTGACAATAGCTTAATTTTTTTAAAAAAAGACATAATACAAGAAGTATTTAAATTGTTAATATGAAAACCCAATATTAACACTTTTAACTATTTTAATAATAAAAGTAATCACAGAACAAATTGCCATTTGACATTTTTATAGATCAGTACAAAAGGAATTAAGTTCTACCATTTCAGTGTCATGTAAGACAAACATTTTATTGTTATAAAATATTATTTTACTTGGTAAGTATAATAGTTCATCTGTATACTAAGATGAAAATAAAATGTATTCATTCTTTTGCATGTAACTAGTTTAAAACTCTCCTCAGAATATTTGAACAGTGTCAGATTCTGTTTAACTAACACTGAATTGGCAAGTAGTGAATGGCTAAAGTTAGTAGTCCAATCTTTCTATAAGATACTGGATTAAGAAAAACTGCTTTAAAAACTAGTGAATTAGATGCAAACTTTTTTCAATATATATATTGTCATATTCAATATCTCTTTATGCTTTTACTATATGAAATTTCCATACTCATATGAAAAAATTATGTGATCCCTGCTGATTTTGTACTGACAAAGAAATGATCACTCTATAATTTTAATGGTAGGCTTATTTTAACAATAAGAGATGGAATAACAACAAAAAAATCCAGAAAAATGCATTTCAAAAGAGTTATACATTGATTTACGTTTTAATGAGTGAAATAAGAATTTGATCCCCAATCAATCAGCAATCAGGTGTCTTTTATATAGGTAATGAGCTGAGATTAGGAGCTCTCTCTTAAAGGGAGTGCTCTTAATCTCAGGTTGTTACCTGTATAAAAGACACCTGTACGCAGAAGCAATCAATCAGATTCCAAACTGTCCACTATGGCCAAGACCAAAGAGCTATCTAAGGATGTCAGTGACAAGATTATAGACCTACACAAGGCTGCAAAAGGCTACATGATCATCACTAAGCAGCTTGGTGAGAAGGTGACAACAGTTGGTGTGATTATTTGCAAATGGAAGAAACACAAAATAACTATTTATTTACTTATGAGACTTATATACCGCTTTAAGTGCAAGCACTCTCTAAGCGGTGTACACCAGTAAGCAATGTATATATATATTTACATTGCCCCCAACAATCTGGGTCCTCATTTTACCTACCTCGGAAGGATGGAAGGCTGAGTCAACCTTGAGCCGGTGAGATTTGAACCGCTGACCTGCTGAACACAGTCAGCTAAAGTGGCCTGCAGTACTGCACTCTAACTGCTGTCCACCTATCAATCTCTCTCAGTCTGGAGCTCCGTGCAAGAGCTCACTTCATAGAGTTTCAGTGATCATGAGAACGGTGAGGATTCAGCCCAGAACTACATGGGAGGATCTTGTGAATGATCTCAAGGAAGCTGGGACTGTAGTCACCAAAAAAAACAATTGGTAACACACTACACCGTGAAGGACTGAAATCCTGCAGCACCTGTAAGATCTCCCTGCTCAAGAAAGCACATGTACAGGCCCAACTGAAGTTTGCCAATGAACATCTGAATAACTCAGAGGAGAACTGGGTGAAAATGTTGTGGTCAGATGAAAGCAAAATCAAGCTTTTTGGCATCAACTCAACTCCCTGTGTTTGGAGGAGGAGGAATGCTGCCTAGAACCCCAAGAACACCATCCCCACCATCAAACATGGAGGTGGAAACATTATGTTTTGGGGGTGTTTTTTGCTAAGAGGGCAGGACAATTTCATTGCATCAAAGGGACAATGGACGGGGCCATGTACCATCAGATCCTAAGTGAGAACCTCTTTCCCTCAGCCAGGGCATTGAAAATGGGTCATGGATGGGTATGACAATGGCCCAAAACACATGGCCAAGGCAACAAAGGAGTGGCTCAAGAAGAAGCACATTAAGGTCCTGGAGTGGCCTAGTCAGTCTCCAGACCTTAATCCCATAGAAAATCTGTGGAGGGAGCTGAAGGTTCAAGCTGCCAACATCAGCCTTGAAACCTTAATGACTTGGAATGGATCTGCAAAGAGGAGTGGGAAAAATCCCTCCTGAGATGTGTGCAAAATGGTGGCCAACTAGAAGAAATGTCTGACCTCTGTGATTGCCAACAAGGGTTTTGCCAACAAATACTAAGACATGTTTTGCAAAGGGGTCAAATACCTATTTCACTTATTAAAAGGCAAATCAATTTATAACTTTTTTGAAATGCATTTTTTCTGGATTTTTTTTGTTATTATTCTGTCTCTCACTGTTAAAATAAACCTACCATTAAAATTATAGACTGATCATTTCTTTGTCAGTGGGCAAATATACAAAATCAGGAGGGGATCAAATATTTTTTCCCTCACTGTAAGCATCTTAAGGTTTTATTTTTGAGGCCATGTCTCATTTGCTAGTGAAAATCAGTGTGACATAGTGTTTTGTGAAACATTAAAAACCATTTGTAACAAACTCTTACAAAACAGCAAATTAAATTGATAAATTGCAATAAAACCCTTCTTATAGATTAGAGGCTCCCAACCTTTTGGGCACCAGGGACCAGTTCTGTGGAGAAAGATTTTTCTGTGGACCAGAGGGGGCAAGGTTTCGTGTGCTGCCTGCATCCAGTGGATGGGGCTTCACTTGTTTGCGTGGCCCATTTGCTGGTATGCTGCGGCCTTGTGCTGATCCATGGACTGGGGGTTGGGGATCCCTGTTATAGATAAAATGTGAAATAATGGTTTGCATCATATCTTTTATGACTGGGGTACCATCATGGAGACAACACTATTCTCAGATACCCTTGTCAACTGGCATTTAGGAAAAGATAGGTTTGGGGCTTGCAAGCTATTATTGCAACTTGGCAGTCAACAGAGACGGCTTCATATTATCATACCACTCATTAGAATAATGCTTCATTGAGTACCATTGACAAAGTAAAAAAATGAAGACCTGGACGTACTTATGTTTTACATTGTAGTTTCTGAATATGAATTGCAGAACATAAACAAAGCTTTTTATAAGAATTTGGAAGTTTCATAATAATTTTTTCCACACAATATGAATTAATTCTCAAAAAGAGTAGAGGTAGATATTTGTACACTTTACATATATTTGGTTATCATTTCCATACAATATACTTTTGTAGATATAGGACACACACACACACACACACACACACACACACACACACACACACACATATATATATATATATATATATATATATATATATATATATATATTATAAGTTTAGATACACTTTTATGTTTTTATGTTACAGAATTATACCAACATGGCTAAAATTCTGAATTATTATAGGGAGCAAATTATTTTGAAAAAGATGGTTGCTTATGAAACAGCTTCTAGACTGTTCTAGAAAACTTGCTACTATTTTGACTACAAACAAAATATGAATCTACTCTTATGGCTGGACTAATGTAAATAAACCAGTGTTTCATACAACCAAGTAGATAAAATCAATATAAACAGAAAATTTGATACCATAGATTGTTTCCCAGCTCTATTTGAAAATAACTTCACAAATTCAGACGGTGTTGACTGCTATAATAATGTCTTTTAATAATTAGAAAGTGTATGTTTCAGCTACAGCAGGATAGCCTCTGTCTTGCTAATAATAGAGCAGCTGAATTTTCTCCTTGATTTTTTTCACCTACTGTCCTGTTGTTTCTTTTTGGGGGAAAGATCTCAAAGTTTGGCGCACAGATCCTGGCTCCATCTTCGACCTTGATCCTTTGGAAGATAATATTCAGTCTAAGAGTCTACATGTGCTTTTGGGTATTGTTTGATTATGATTTTCTGCATTGATTTGTTATGGTCCTGGAAGTAAAATGGATCTAGTAAATTGCACTTGTGTGAAAATAACAGCATACTATTATTTTGTTTACTAGGACTGCATGAATACGTATATGATTATTGTAAATGAAAATTCACTTTGTGAGGACTACGGTATTTCACTTAAATTCACTTAGTGAGACTGATTGGAGATGATGTCAGATATAGAGCAACTCATTAAGTAGGCACCAGGTTGTAAAAAAATGACCTTTTGGGATTTTAATCAGCTGCCTAGCTTCTGTAGCAATATGAAACTATTTACAAAATGTATGATTCCAGATCACTCTGCTTGATTCACAAAGTTTTATTGAGATTGATATGGATGATGTTTTCTGTTTACTATATGTTTTCTATTTTCATGTTTCCCATTGCTACTTTCATCTTATTTCTGGCCAGAGAAAAACCATCTGAGAGAAAAAGGAGAGCTGTAGTATTTTTTGATTAATAACACTAAGTGACAAAGTTTCACTCTAATCTTTAAGTATTTGTGTTCAAATAATATGTTTTGTTCCTAAGTGAATGGAAGCTAACAAACCTCTTGTTGCCACAGAGTTAAACCCTACTTTCTGTAAGTTTGAATTCATATTTATTTTTACCAGCAGTTGTTTATAATGTAACAGTAAGTGAATATGGCATATTAAATACTGTAAAATTATTAATAAGGCCACAAAAGATAACAAAAGGAGCAGCCCCCCCCATTTGTACAGCTCCCACCTTACTTGATTGAAATGAACTTGGATAGCATGTGGTTAGATGGCTTTAACTTAGAGGATTTTTTCTTTTTTTCTTTCTTTTTTAAATTGCTCTTCCTGGTGACTGCTGTCCCTTATAATCAACTGTACAAGGCCACAATACCTGCTTTTCTACTTAAAGCATTAGTGTATGTGTGTTTGTGTGTGTGTGTGTGTGTGAGAGAGAGAGAAAATATGGTTAATGATGCTTGATTATGTTTATTTATATTTTAATATTTTTAACATAAAAAGTTCCCTTTAATTTTATTTAAAAATTTGCAATACTATTTATTGCAGTATTGTATTTTTCTTATAGAAAAAGCAAGACGTAGCCAATACCACTTGCGTTCTACCAGTACTTCTGGTGTTGGAGATGACAAATCAGATGATTCTATATTTTCTTACTCCAGTGAGGCAACAAGGCTATCTAATGAAGGAGGAGGTATACAGAAGTATCCACCATTAACTTTCACTGTGTGCTCATTCTTTGCACATCTTAAGAATTAACTCAGCAATCTTCACTTACCTAATGAATCAACAACTGCATTAGATGAAGTCTTTTTTGTTAATCTTAGACATGAGTCAACAAGGATGATATCTATGTACTGTATTTACACATACTTCTTAAATCTTGGTGGCTTTCAAGTATAGTTATAAATTGTTCACTACTGATTTGGATTCTCTACCTTATGTTATTTAACTGCCTATGTCAATAAGCAGAATTATCAATTGAATTTGAAATTGTTCACAGAATAATGAAGTTTGCCATGTGACATTTTTACCATTACCAAGTTTACCAAGTTAATTTATGATACAAACACACTTACTTGAACATGCTTACTTAAATATTTCTGCATATTTTCAAGCAAACTTTTGCAGCCATGAAATCTAGAAAGGAAAGAGATAAGAACCCAAGTAAATTACTTTCTTCATGTACTACAATATTCTATGTTTGTATGTAACTTTGAGATAAAACATTATCACATTTCTACATATGCAGGTAGCCCTTGACTTATGACAGCCATTAAAGCCAGAATTTCCATTGTTAAGCAAGATGGTTTTTAAGTGAGTCATTCTTGATTTGATGACCTTTTTTGCTCTGGTTGTTAGTAAGTCATTGTACTTGTTAAGAGAATCACACAATTGTTAAGAGAATTGTCAGATGTTGATTGGAAGGTCACAAAGTGTGATCACAGAGTTATCCTATAGCAAGGTGGGCAGCCAATAAATTTTATAAATAATAAATAAATAAATCTCTGTGACAGAGATTTTGCTTTTTAAATATGCTCCTCTGCATCAATAGGTTATAAGCGCATGCTGAGAAAGCATGCACAGAGCAAAATTCAACAAAGCAACCAAAATAACCAAGTAACCTGTACATTTAACTATTTTATCAATATATCTTATTTCTATAGAAAGCACAATATTGCAGGAAAACACACCCTTTATTTGTCAGGAGTGCAAAGCACACAGTTTAACTTGCATGCAACATACATAAGAACTCTTAGTAAAGAATTTTTTAAAAAGCAATAACTAAATGGGTAATCTGGAAGCACTCTTTGTATTTTATTGCTGATTTCTTCTCATCTCTCCTTTCCCATATCATCCCATCTAGTCTAAACTAGCAGCAGCGAGTTCCTATACTGGCTAGGCTGGGGAAAGTAAAACAAAAACAAGCCAACACAAACCATTAAAAAGCAAATAAAAAATGCTGTACTTGAAACAGTCAGAAACAGTGAAGTAACTATTCCAAGGTCCTACTTTATTCAGATCTCAAGGATAGGGGTTCTTCAAGATCAGAACAAATTGAGATTAAAATACAGGCAGTCCTTGAGTTTCAAATGAAATTTTGTTATTGTTAGTTGCAAGTCATGTCCGACTCATTGTGACCCCATGGACAATGTTCCTCCAGGTCTTCCTGTTCTCTACCATCTTCTGGAGTCCATTTAAGCTTACGCCTACTGCTTCAGTGACTCCGTCCATCCACCTCATTCTCTGTCGTCCCATTCTTCTATTGCCCTCAATCTTTCTCAGCATTAGGCTCTTCTCCAGTGAGTCCTTCCTTCTCATTAGGTGGCCAAAGTACTTGAGTTTCAATTTCAGGATCTGGCCTTCTAAAGAACAATCAGGGTTGATCTCCTCTAGGACTGACCAGTTTGATCGCCATGCAGTCCAGGGGACTCGCAGAAGTCTTCTCCAGCACCCTATTTCAAAGGCCTCAATTCTTTTGCACTCAGCCTTTCTTATGGTCCAACTTTCAGAGCCATACATTGCAAATGGGAAAACCATGGCCTTGACTATACGTACTTTTGTTGGCAGGGTGATGTCTCTGCTTTTTAGTATGCTGTCTAGATTTGCCATAACTTTCCTCCCCAGGAGCAAGGGTCTTTTAATTTCTTGGCTGCAGTCCCCACCTGTGGTGATCTTGGAGTCCAGGAAGATAAAATCTGTCACTACCTCCATTTCTTCCCCATCTATTTGCCAGGCAATTACATTCGTAACATGAGGATTCAAAGGAGTGAATTAGGTAACTTGAACGAGATCACTCCCAGCTTTTGCCCACACATTCGCTAATTGAATGTGCAGATCGTTAAGTGCACAAGGTATCTCAGGGTGGGGAAGGCCGTGGAGGGCTAATACTTCTGATCATCCAAGGCATCTCCTGATCCACTGAGATATCTCATATTTCCCCCTCTTCCCTATCCTGCTCGACCAGGTCACTTACCTTACATAGATCTCAATGATCAAGGGAGCTGTCTCCTCTCCAGCCTCTCTGCCATAGTTTTGCTTTGAGCAAAGGCTTACCAAGGCCTGCCAGGACGAGAGATTGCATCCCTATAGGCTCCGGTCATCTTTGCAAAAAGGCTTTGCCACCAAGAACAAAGACCGGGAGGGGTGTGCACATCTCTGTGGCCTACATTTACAGAGGCAAAGGCCTTGAGGAAAGCCTTTGCCGAGTATGGAGCCCAAGAGACCAAGAAAATGAAGACTCCTAGATTTTTGCAAGGTTAGTATCCACAGGCCCAGGCCCACGGCATGGGAAATAGGCAGGGCAAATGTTGCAGTGCCTCTGCGATCGTTTGTAAGGGTGAATGCTGACCTGGTGCTGCAACATTTGTAATTTCGGGACTGTGTCATAACTACCTGGAGTATGTTGTAATTTCAAACAGTTGCCAAGTAAACTGTCGTACTCGAGGATTACCTGTACTTTGCACATTCCTCCTTACAGCATTTTGGTTGGATTGTATTCATTTGGAGTTCTTGTGATTTGACCATAGTGGGTGAAATGATATTATTGTATCCCACAGCTAGAGGGATTTAAATTATTTTAAAAAATACACCAAACAAAAGAGGAGGTGGAGTTGCTCTTTATATAAGAAATAACTATATCTCTATAGAAATAGAGCACAACAATGATGAAAACTCTCGAATGCATGTGGGTCAATATAAAAGGGGAAAAAAATGACATTGCAATAGGTGTATACTATAGGCCACCCAACCAAATAGAGGAAATAGATGAACTTTTTTCTAGTCAGCTAACTAAGGTATGTAGGAAGCACATCACAATAGTAATGGGGGACTTTAATTACCCTAACATCAACTGGGAGACAAACTCTGCACCAAGTGGAAGATCAAACAGATTCCTAACAAACCTAGCAGACAACTTTGTCTGCCAAAAAGTAGAGAAGGGAACTAGAGGATCAAACATATTGGACCTAATTCTCACTAACAGAGATGAAATGATAGAAGGTGTTGAAGCCTTAGGAACCTTGGGGGGAAGTGATCATGCAATATTGGAATTCAACATTATGCAAGCACAAGCAATAGAACATAGTCAAACTAGACTTTTAAGAGAGCTAATTTCAATAAACTTCGAGAAAACTTGGGAAGGATTCCAGCCTAGCACAATACCAATGAAGAAGAAAAATAACAGCTCTCAAAAGAAACCAGCATGGCTGAATAAAGAACTCTCTAATAAATTGAAAGAAAAAAAGGACAAGTATAAAAAGTGGAAAGAAGGGCACATAACTAAGGCAGAATATCAGCAAATAGCCTGAGCCTACAAAGATGGAGGATAGCTAAGGTTCAAAATGAACTAAGGCTTGGGACAACTCAAGAATAACCAAAAAAAAAGCTTATTTCAACATGTAAAAAACAAGAAAAAAGGAAATGATTGGTCCATTAGTGAGAGAAAGTAGCAAGAAGGTGACAAGCAAGAGGGAGAAAGCACAACTATTTAGCTCATTTTTTGCAGTCCAACCTATCAAAAACAGTACTGTAAAAAACAGATTAGAAACATAAGATAGGCAAGAAAATGGTGAGCATCTTCCCAGCCTAGACGAGTTCAAATCACCAGGATCAGATGGATTACACCCCAAGACCTTGGACCTCAGTAAGGCATTTGATACAGAAGGATCTGACAGACTTGAACATTGGGCGCTATCTAACAAAATGAAATTCAGTGGTGAAAAAAGTAAGGTTCTACATTTAGACAAGAAAAAACAAATGCACAGGTACAGTATAGATAGTTCCTTGCTCAATAGTAACTGTGAGAGGGATCTCGGAGTCCTAGTGGACAATCACCTAAATATGAGCCAGCAGTGTGCTGCAGCTGCCAAAAAAGCCAACACAGTTCTGGTTGCATTAACAGAGGGATAGAATCAAGATCACGTGAAATGTTAATACTACTTTATAACGCTTGGTAAGGCCACACCTGGAATACTGCATCCAGTTTTGATCACCATGATGTAAAAAAGATATTGAGACTCTCGAAAGAGTACAGAGAAGAGCAACAAATGATTAGGGGACTGGAGGCTAAAACATAAGGAACGGTTGCTGGAATTGGGGATGTCTAGTTTAACGAAGAGAAGGAAGAGGGGTAACATGATAGCAGTGTTCCAATATCTCAGGGGTTGCCACAAAGAAGAGGGAGTCAAGCTATTCTCCAAAGCATCTGAAGGCAGGACAGAAAGCAATGGATGGAAACTAACCAAAGAGAGAAGCAACCTAGAACTAAGGAGAAATTTCCTGACAGAACGATTAATCAGTGGAACAACCTGCCTCCAGAAGCTGTGAAGAAGAGACTGAACAGCCATTTGTCTGAAATGGTATAGGGTCTCCTGCCTGAGCAAGGGATTGGACTAGATGACTTCCAAGGTTGCCTCCAACTTTATTATTATTATTATTATTATTGTTGTTGTTGTCTTAGAATGATAGAGCTCTTAGATTTTTATTTTTACATTTCTGTGTCACTGAAGAACCATTATCCTCAGTGCTCTGCCCAATCAGATTTTTGAATACTTTTCCATGGGCAAAGCTGCTCCCTCAGGCCTGATTTTAATTCTTTGTATAGCCTTAAGCACAGAGATATTATAAAGTTTCTGTTTTGAAAGAAGCCTATTGCAAAAGTGAAGCAAGTTTTTCAAACACGAAGCTGTTGTT